ACGAACCAAATCAAAACGCAACCACTAACGCAAACCCAACCTAAACACAAAGAAAACACAAACGCGAACATAAACGCAAAGTGCTCACAGTCTAGCCCGGGGCAGAATCACCTGTTTCAGCTTAATAAACGACTATAGTACCCCAACTTATTCATAGTCTTTTGCACTCACTTAAACGAACGTAGGTGCCAAACCAAACCAAATGAACAATTATAATACTCCAAGCTTATCCGTAAAATACCTACAACATTTGCACTTGATCAATCCCCGCTAATTATGTAATTATTTTTTTTCCAACACCACAACAAAGTAATAAAAAGTACATTCTTTTCCACTAATGCAATGTTTTATAAAGGGAAGTAATTGTGTTTTCCTAATTTATCAAAGGGAAGTAAGTGCTAAAGGACTAAATATAAATAATTTTCAGACATAATTAGAATTTTTGTATAAAATGATATTTTTTTAAAAATTGTGTTTAATGAACATGCCGACAATTATTACTATCAGTTTGAAAAATGAAAATTATTTCCCACCACTTTCAGTATTAATTTTTTAAACTCATAAATTCAAATTGTGAGCACGATAATATTCTAACACTTAAATCCATCCAAGTATGTCAACGACAAACTTATTACATACAGAATTGAGCTCTATATATTAGACTAATAATATTGCGCACTATTATACACGCAACAACGCTCCCAGCGCCTGGCCTGCCACAGCCAACCAACCCCCTCCCCCCACCCCCAACCAAACTTCCCAGTGAACGATTTTTGTTTACTCAGCGTAGCAAAAACGATCACGCTATCTAGGTCGCCTTACCCAACCAACCCCCACCCACCACCCACCCCCCTCACTGACCCACCACCGCTCCCCTCTTATAAATTTGTCCTTTTATGTAATTCAAATACGTTCAATATATTTGATTTAACGATCATCTCTGTACATTACCTACTCAAATTAATTAATAAGTTTGTTTTGAAGTTTAATTATTTTAAAATTTTGATTAAAAAAAAATAAAAATAAAAATTGAAGACTGTTTGCAGATAATAGGTACAAATGGAAAGTGTGAATGCAAATGACTACCTATTGTACATAATATATCATGTTTTTTGTATACTTCAGACATAACTATGTGTACTTCTCCCCTCTTTTAGGAAGTCTAGACAAACCTTTGAAGCCAATGTTGTTAATATAAAGTTTACTACAACTCATCACTTTTATTTATCATAGACAAATATTGTCCCCTTTTCAACTTTATTATTTAGAAATAGCAACTACCTATTGTACATAACATATCATGTTTTCCTGTATACTTCATATATAACTATTTGTACTCCCCCCCCCCCCCCCCCTTTAGGAAGCCTAGACCAACTTTCGAAGCCAAATTTTGTTAATATAAAGTTTACCATAACTCAGCACTTTTATTTATTATAGCCAAATATTGCCCCAATTATAACTTTAATTTTTAGAAATAGCAAATTGCTTTTGGCCCATGAAATAACCCCCCCCCCCCTCCCTATAAAATACATATATATATATATATATATATATATATATATATATATATATATATATATATATATATATATATATATATATATATATATACATATTTTATTCTGTAAATAACATGTAAAAATTTTTGAGAATGAAAGTTTCAGGAATAGTTTATATTGTAAATCTGCACCAGTCTTCTTATGTCGCATGATGAACGTAGTAAAAATCAGCTACTGCCACCACTCATTGGCTGGGCGCGCTGAAAGTCAAATCTACAACACTGAGACGTAAAAAAAAAAAAAAAAAAAAAAAAAAAAAAAAAAAAAAAAATTATACACTAGGGATCGGCAACCTGCGGCTCGCGAGCTGCATGCGGCTCTTTTGATATCAAGATGCGGCTCTCCAGCTCTTTGAACAAATACTAATAATCTTAATAAAAAAAATATTTTAAATAAAAAAAAAATTAGTGGCTCTTTAAAACCATTGAAATTTTGAAAAGTGTAACTTTTGGCTCTTCCGCTTCAAAAGGTTGCCGACCCCTGTTATACACATTTTGTTTTGGCGTTCGCTTGGTGCGCAACTCTTTTTTGTATGAGATTCTATTCTATTTTTAAAAGTTTAAGTAATTAAAAATCATGTCTATATTTCAAGTTATTTAAAAATATTCGATAAAGTTTAGGGGAGATCACTCCCGGTTTATTTTTTTGAACTATTACAAGACTTTTTCTATAGTTCGTATATAGTTCTACGAGAAAGTAAAAAAATTCATTAAAAAAAACGTTTTAATAACAAGCTTTTATGCACTAATGCACTAAAAAGTAGAAAATAAATTATAGACTACTATTTAAATAACTATAAAGAAAAGCGTGGGTCACTCTAGTTATTTAATTAGTAGTCTATAATTTATTTTCTACTTTTTAGTGCATTATTACTTAAAAGCTTGTTATTAAAACGTTTTTTATGAAAAAAAAATTTCAGTACTTTACATGTTTTATTTACAACTAGGCATGCTGCCCAGCTTCTCTTAGGCTTTCGAAAACATTGAGAATTTGAAAGCTTAATTAATTCGCCCGAGGTTCGGTCTACGACCTCAGGAGTTATGAAGAGGTTCCTACGTGGACATTTTTTTTTCGATTTATAGCTCATATAAGGCGCCGGTCAGTCGAGGTCAGTTTTGACCCCCTCATCGTAGACTTTTCGGCCAACCGGTCCCCGTGTTCTATCGCCCCAAGGCAAGATCCTGTCAAATTTGAAGCGCCTGTGGCACCGGGAAGTGCAAGCACCTGACAACTTTGCTTTATATATTATAGAGATTAGCAAATTAATGCATAGATAAACAAAGATTTCATTAAAGTAATTAAGGCCTGAAATACTTTAGTATAGAAATGTATTATTTGAATAGATTCTAGATCTAGGTAGGGTCTATATCTGTGTAAGTCTAGTTTTTCCGTAGATCTAGATCATCTAGATCTAGACCTAGAATCTCTAGATCTAGATGATCTAGAATATCTAGATCTAGAATATCTAGATCTAGAATCCGAATAGAATTATGTTTTTAAGTTTAGCAAAATTGTATGGTATTAATTATATAGCGTACGTAGATCTAAATAATATTTGAATGAAATAGTTCATTTCTTTTTATTCTAAACACGGCATGATGTCATTAGTTAAAGTATAAACATTAGTGACGTCACTGTTTTATGCATTCTTTTTCAAAACTATAAACGCTTTTCCTGTTGCATAATTAAAACTTTTTTTCTACATTCAAATACGCCTTTATTTTTTTTTATTTTTCTTCTTTAAATAAAATTGTGGTTATACATTTAAATCATCTAACATATTATTTTCAACAAAAGTCTGTATAAAGTTCTTCATATATCGCTGCAGTTTCTGATATGATATCCGGCGAAAATATTTTGCGGACAGACAGAGAGAGAGAGAGAGAGAGAGAGAGAGAGAGTGAGAGAGAAGTGCGCACATGGGCTATTATATATTAGGATAGAGTTACATGACTAAATACCATTGCGCGCCTACTGAACGTGATGGCGCAGCCATTGAACGTGATGGCGCAGCTATTGAACGTGATGGCGCGTGTGGTGTGGTTGGATAGACATGCCTACTAATTCGGTCCAAATTTTAATTAATTCATAAAAAATTAATTAGGCATCCAATTACGTCAAATTTAGTTTCAGATTGCATTGTTTTCATGTCTTGACCCACGTGCCAAATGTGAATCATATCAGTCAAGTAGAAGTGTCCGAATTTCCACTCCCGCGTTTCGATCTAGACAGACAGACTGACGACTGACGAGGAAGTGAGTTAAATAAAAGCTTGTAATAAAAACGTTTTAATAACAAGCTTTTATGTAATAATGCACTAAAAGTAGAAAATAAATTATAGACTACTGTTTAAATAACTATAAAGAAAAGCGTGGGTCACTTTAGTATCTATTGGATACCTTTACTAATGTTAAGGAAGACACCCACGCTTTTCTGAAATAGTACTCAAGTTATAGGCTTTTAAAAAATTCAAAGTAGAAAAAGTACCACTTCCGGTTATCGGAAAACGCTCAAAAGTTGATCAGGATCTACGATTTTGATAAAATACTTATATATGAAATTTCATCAACAGCTATAGCTGTAACGGTACTCAAGTTATCGTGTTTACACACAGACAGACAGACACACAGACATACGGACAAGATTGCAAAATTATGTTTTTCCGTATCAGTGAGGTGTAAAACGTCGAGAATTGTAAAAATCTCGATTTTTTTTTTGCACGATTACAAGACATTCTTTATACGAGAAAGTAAAAATATAAACGCCTTACTTGATTTTTATGTGGCAACAAGAACACTCTACCTATACAGAGAATCCCGAACAGTGTTTCTTCCAGACTTTTTCTGGGGGGGGGGGGGGCATTTTTTTTCAAACAGTGAAGTCTAGCATTTTGTGATGATGGGGTCGGGTGGGAGGGGAGTGAAATCGTTTTAAAATCCTGACTGCATCTATGGATGACCCCTTATCTTTAGTTGTAGTAACTTTTAAAAGCCTGATATAAAGCTGAAACTTTTTGTATCTTTACAAGGCTAGCTGCTTGACGTGAGAAATTGTGCACATATTACATAACCCGAATCACTACTAATCAGTAAAGTTGCACCAGAATGACACAATTATTAAAGTCGACAAGGAAACAAAGTGTAGTTTTGTCAAAAGTGTCTTGCATAAATGACCGCGCTTTTAAATCACACGTTGATCAAAGCCCCATCCTAAATCTTTGATCATACTACAAAAAGATCATTATTCTCATGGAAACTAACGTGGTAGCCATACTTTTTTGTATTTCTGTCCTTTAAAAAATACAAAATAAATGTTTCTCCACCCCGTCCCCCGTCAGATTGTCACAAAAGTCTAACTAAACCCCTCTTCTCTAGATGGTGACTTCCTAGAGACTAGACTAGAGAGAATGGGGTTGTGACGTCATTTCAACGAAAGAAAGATCACTCGAAAAAAGATTGTCAAGGGTAGAAAACCGTGTCCGTAAACGAATCAAAAACATTGAGTATCGAGGCTAGAATCTGGGTTCACTAGATCCTACACTGAACATTCTGATTTTAACCGGAACAAAGTGTCCATTTTTTATTTGTTTGTAAGAAATTATTGTATAATTTAAGATATGTGATAATATCAGCCTCATATCTACTTTTTCTTTTCAAAATTGATTAAATTACATCTTTAAGGCACGATAAACAAAAATGTGAGTGCGTGTACTCTTCAATACAACCAATTATCGATAGATCAGGAATCCATGTGAAGCACTGACTAGAAACTTTAGTGTAGGCTAGACTAGTAGATCTAGATCTAGTAATTCTCCTAAAATTCTAGTGTATGCCTAATCCTAATTTTAGTATCTAGAGAAATGTTAGGGTGACATTTCATTCTAGATCTAGATCTAGATTTTTTTTATAATATGCCTAAAAAATCTAGATTCTAGGCTTAGTAAAAACTAAAAACTGTTTAAAATGACAAATGGATTTGGTTGATGTTTGAGGGCACTTACGGTCTTACTTACTCACTTAGAGTATTTGAGACTGTCAATAAATGCATTAAATGACTTTTAGCTAGATTCAAATCTAGATCTAGATAGTCTATAGATTCTAGTGCAATTTGGAAATTGTAGACTAAAGTGTAAACAATAAAAAAAATACCTAGATTTCTAGTTCTAGAAATCTAGATCTGATGATGATTCTAATCAAAATCCCCTTTTGCCAGCAGTGTTAGAAGTTAGAACCATCACACTACATCACAACTAGATCTATGAATTTTAATATTTAATAGGGAAGCCTTTGATGTTAAAATATTAAAATAACAAGTTAACATTAGGCCTAAACAATTCAATAAGCCATCAACAATTTACATTGAAATTGAGGCAACATTTTACATTAATAGCCCAATTAATATGTTATCAGATAATTTATCATATAAATTTTTATAATTTTATGGGCCTAAAAAATTGGAGACATAAACTAGAATACTTTAATGTGAACTCTTATGTGATGAATGCTCATCATAAGGTTTCACTTGAAAATTTATTGCCTTGAGTGCTATGCTGAGCAGACATGACATTCATATTATATAACTGAATGAATGACATTTGTGTGTAATTGATACAAGCCTATACATTTTTCTTGTACTATTTGAAAATAATTGTTTCCCAGATAAACATATGTAAAAATGAAAAACAAGCAAAATTCACCAAATCTTAAACGGCCAAAAACTGCTGGAGGGCAAATTCGTCATGGCGGCTTTGGTCAAGAGAAGTTACGTGGGAAAGATATATCTATGACACCCGATACATTTGAGCGCTCTCAGTCTAGGGTTAAGAAAACAGGAATCAGAAGGCGGCGTTCCTTGTTGGATAGAAACAGTACAGCTCAGTTGGATGGAGATGTTACTCAACTTTCTCAAGGTTCAGTTTCTTTTTAAAATTTTGCCCTACTATTTTGACAGTGGGCCGTTTGTTTAAATTATTTATATTGTAGGCGTATTGAATTACGTTTTAAAATACAAGTACAAAATTGTACTTTGTTTTTATGAAATATTTGTCTTTACTACAACACAAAGATAATTTATATTATTAGTTAAATAAATTATTTTTCAAGTGTTATCTAATCAAAACATTAATTCACTACTTATTTACAGGTGCTTTCAATGTAAACTTGTACTAATGTACTGCTTAATGTTAAAAAATTCCACAGATGACAGTGTACTTGGACACACTCCTCTTACTATCAGTCAGATCAGTGAAATTGATCCATCCAGTACAGTGGACTCTGCCTTCAAAAAGAAATCTCGAAAAGCTCAGGGATCAGATGATACTTTAGAAATGGCAGTACATTATGCAAGAGGTGAACCAGATGGTGCAGAGAGGTAAAAAAAATGTTAAAATCTAAACATTTATTTAGCTAATCTTGTGTCTTTTAAAAAAAAACTACAGCTGACACATTTTGTTGCAAATAAAATTTTATTGGAGAAAATGAAACATGATTCAGATGTTTACCTGCACTATTTGTGATTAGTGTTTTTGAAGTCTTGGGTATGAAATCATTATTGGGTCATTTCAAGTAAAAACGAACTGGTTTCTACTGAGACAATTTAATTCTAATAGGGACATACTCAAATTATTTTTCTCCTTGCAAACCATACAAGTACAAATTTTGTTATAATTTTAAAAGATTTAAATAGAATAATAACCCTTTTAAACAAATAAAATGTGTAACTGTCACTCATCTGTTTTAGATCTTTCACAAGGCATAAGTTATCAAAGATTTCCCTCAATGATGGCAGCGATGAAAGTGGAGATGATCATGATGAAAGTATGGAAGTAGATGAAAACAAGAACGATAATGATGAAGAAATACCATCCCCATCTAAAAAGTCTAAAAATTCGGGGAAGGAAGCAAAGTCACCTAAAGTGGAAAAGACAAAGAAAGGAGTTCTTAAGGTAACCAGGTGTAACACAGACTTTCCATTTTTATTCAATTTTATAAATACTGAGTGGTCACAATATCTTAATAAAGTCTTTAATAAAGCTTGTACTATTTATATTTACAAGCTATGGTTAGGTTACATGGACATAGTAGTACTAAGTATTGCTAATAAAATAAATAAGTAAGTTTGGCTGATCAACAAATGTTTTTTTTTTATTAGCTGCCTTTTAAGCAAGCAGCAAAGAAACTGAAAGCAATGAAAAGTTCTGGTGATCTGCAAAAAACAAAAAAGCAAGTCAATAAGAAATTTGAAGCCTTACCAGATGAAACTACAGGTAAGCTTGGTCTAAATTTTTTTATTTTCTCAATGCTAGGACAATTCTATTTTTATGTGAAGATAAGCTTTTAGTTTAAAGTAATATGAGTTTTAAAAATTTTTATGCAGATTTTAATTTACATTATTTCCAATTTGCAGTACCCAAAACACCAAATCAAACTTGGAAAGAAAAGAAGCAACAGCGAAAGATGATGAAAAATAACTTTGATCTGATTACAAATGCCAAAAAGGCATGGGAGGAACTTCGCAGGTCATTTGGGGAAATTGAATAATTGAAACTTAACACCAATTTACCTGTATTGGGTATAAATGTTATAATTTGTTTTTTTAGCTCTTTATTTTTTATTAAAACAGACATGATCTCCCTGCTGTGAAGAGGAAAAAAATCTGTGATGATTTGATGAAAATGGTTGTTGGAAAAGTGAAAGAGGTACCTTGTCATTTCTGATTTTAGTTGACTGTATTATTGCAGATGTTTTTATCTTGCATAAAAAAATGAATAGATCAATTTAATTGATGTTTTTTTTTTCCATCATTTAGCTTGCACTAGTGCATGACTCTGCCAGAATTATTCAATGTTTGGTTCAATATGGAACTGAAGAGCAGCGCAGTGTTATATTTGAAGAATTAAAAGGTAGGTTGTGCTGCAATTTGATTATTTTTTTATAGCTGTTTACTTTGTGTGAAATTTCTATAGCCTTCATCTATTTACCTTGTTTTCATCAGGTGAAATTTGTGAGTTGTGTAAACTTAAATATGCTAAGTATGTCGTCCGCAAACTGATTCATTATGGGTAAGTTATTTGGCATTGTTTTACTTATTGATGGAATATAAAACTATTTAAAAAATCATAATTTAGAAACTTTATAGTAATTACATATTCTTTCCTTACAGGTCTAAAGAGTTGCGTGGTCAAATATTTTTAAGTTTTCATGGTCAAGTGCGTAAACTAATTAGACATAAGGTTTGTTATTTTGATTTCATAAAGTGAAATATAAAATTTTTTTCATACTTTAACGTTTAATAATATAAAAATGATGTGTTAAAAAAAATTTCTTTTACATATTACATAGGAAGCATCCGACATTGTTGAGTACGCTTTTAATGAGTATGCAACAGCACCTCAGAGACTTGCAATTTTGGAAGAGTTTTATGGACCAACATTTACTTTATTTAAGGTAAATTTTAAAAGGGTCAAACTGCATGTTCATTATATCTCTGTTTGCCAACCTTACATAAAATTAAGCTACATAATTATATTGAAGTTTAGTGGGTCCGCTTTTCTAATGCCATGGCCTTAAATAAAAATTGTTATATTAGGATCGTGCTCATCAGTCCCTGGATCAAATTATGGCAGAACAGCCTGAAAAGAGAGACATGGTTATTCGCAGTATGAAGGAGGCATTGGTGCCATTGATAGACAAGTATGTTCTAATATTCATTATACAAAGTTTAAAAACAATAATATTCAGTCATCTATTATTCATGACTTCAGCTTATAAAACATGTTGATAACATTCTTCTTGTTTCCCAGAGAAATCCTGAATTATTCTCTTGTACACAAAGTGTTTTTTGACTTCTTTGCTTACTCAGATGACAAGTCAAAGAAAGTAATTGTTGATTTTTTTTACTTACATTGTTACACTGCTAGGTTATCTCTTTATTTTATAAACTATTATTTTTATATTCTCTCCTCAACAACATTGTTTATTTATAACTATTTGTAATATGCATTTAAAACAGATAAGACTTTTATTAATCTTAGCCAATTAATTTTGTGTAGGAAATGATAGAAGGCCTCAGAGAACACATTCCAAATTTGTTACACACGAGAGATGGGACAAGGGTAGCTATGCACTGTGTTTGGGATGGATCAGCTAAAGATAGAAAAGTTATTGTGAAAAGTCTTAAGACTCATGTGGCTAAAATCTGTAAGGAGGAGCATGGTCACCTGTTGTTGCTGGCTATCTTTGACAGTGTGGATGACACAGTTTTGTTACAGAAAGTTATCTTGGATGTAAGTTATCAACTTTAGCATACTTCAAGTTAACAACTTAGCAAATTTTTTGTACTAGCTCTTATTCGCATACACTCGAGATTATTTTTATAAAAATTAACGGTGATTGATGTGTTAAATAATGATCTTTGGTGTTCAGAAAAGTTAACCATACAGATGCTTTATACTTGATGCTTCTTGATAGCTTTGAAAATGGTAGTTTATAATAAATAAATTACTGTTTAGAAGTTGGGTTTTTTTTTAACATTATTTTTGAAAACTTCAAGCAAATAAAGTAGCAATAAAAGTCATGTCTTTTTGAAGGAACTACTGAAATCCTTGGATGATGTTATCAATGATCAACATGGAAAGAAAGTGTTGCTGTACCTGATGTCTCCCAGAGATACACATCATTTCCATCCTGACATTAACAAGGTGCTCCAAGATGGAGATTCTAATCCCACCAGGTACTTAACTTTTTCAGTTACAGTACTAAATCTAGTTGTTTTCTTGAAGTATCAAGTTAAAATATATTTTTTCTAAATTACAGTAAAAAAGACAAGACATTAAGAGCCAAGGAACTGCGTTCTCATATCTCGCCTCACCTGCTCAATTACCTGGAGAAAAATGCATTGAGTATGATGAGTAATAGTAACCTGGCTTTGATTGTCAAATCTATCATCACTCATGCTACAGGTATGTAAAAGTAACACTTCTATTAATGTTTAAACTATACCAAACCACATAAACATTTCCTGACAATCAGTTCTTCGTAGACTGGAGACTTCCTCCAGACTTCAACCTGGAACTGGAGCCTTGCTCGCCCACAAGAATATGTAAAAAGGTTTCTTTTTTTTAAAAACTTTTTTCTTTCTCTAGGGGATGTTGTCCCAGCCATGAGGGCAATAGCAGATTTGGTAGCACAACCTTGCAGTACTGCAGATGGAGCTATTAATATAATAGAACATCCAGCTTGTCACATTGTCTTGAAAAAGATTATAGCCAATGATAAGACAAGGATGGAAGCTGGTGAAGGAAGTATGTTTTTTTTTATTGAAAACTTAAAATCTTTTTGTTTCGTTGGAACACTTTGTTGTGGAACTTTTAAAATACTAAAAATAATTTTGTGTAATCATGGTCTTAGAAAGATTAGAGCCATTTTAAGGTGTCGTAAAATATCAGTCCAAATGTATAGGCCTACTTTTTTCAATAAAATACTATATGATATCCTGTGCTTAATTTTTTACAGTATTAAAGTTAACTTTTCCTCTGTTATTTTTTCATATGGTCAGTCTTAAACAGTAGCACTTTTTTTTCAGTTTTATTTTCGGCCATACTACTTGAAGCATTGCCGAAGTCCACAATTAAAATATGGGCAGCCAGTAACCGAGGTTGTTTTATTCTTGTGAGGTAAGTTTTACATTTTTTTATTAACACACTTAAGTTTAAAAAGTATATTCAAAATTTACTGTCCAAGATGTATATTTTTAGTGAACTATCTTTCAATGTGAACTATCTTTCAATGTGAATTCCTAATCTGGTAAAAATAATATTTGTAAATTAATTCCTCTAGCCTATTGGAGGTTGGGTGTTCAACAATCACAGAGAAAGTAAAAGCCCACCTTCAGCCTGTTCTCAAATCTCTCAGCAAAATGACGTTTAAAGGTGCAGAGCTGTTGCTTGAAAAGTTGGAGAAGCCAAGTAAACGAGAGTTCAGAGTGTAGAGCATTAAACTTAGCATAAACATTCTAAAGAGTAAAGAGATTTGACAATGAAAAGGAAGTCAACAAAAATACTTGTTTGATACATTCTGGTTTTTGTACTTGGCTGACCCTGAAGGAATGTATTTTTACAGAAAGAAAATAAACAGTTAATAATTGAAATTCTTTCTTGTTTTTGAAAGTGATGTTTTATTTTGAGTAAAGAAAAAAATACAAGATATCAAAACAATGATTTTTTATTTTGTCAGTGTTACTGCCTATTAAAGAAATATGTATTTAATGCTGTTTGTTAATGGTTTGGAATAAGCATGAAGACCTTGTATTGTTGTGTCAGCATAACCAAATAGACACATATAGGCAGATGAATTGAAAGGTTTTCTTTTACCTTGGCATGTGAAGTGATTATGCAATCACTTCAATGCCCAACTACTTTTAATTTCCCCATTATCAACTCTGGTACCTATCAGAGATTGATAGGCCCTCGACTGTCTAGCAATCAATTAAAATGTTAAATGCAAATTATATTCAGGTTTATTTTCAATCTCTGAACAGTCTCGTATCTGTTAGGGCAACCATGCTTGCTTTTCGGGTAATTCTATTGAACACAGTTTTGCAGTATGATTATTTAATTAAATTTCATTTTATTGACAACAAAACTGAAATGACTTCTATGCCAAGTATATAATTACAGGATTGATACTATAAAAGGGCATTTTCTAATATACATTGGTTTTGCATATTACAGTTAATTAGCTTAATTATTTCCTCCAGCAAGCATCAAAACTATTTTCACTCCTGGTGCTTTCTTTTTGATAAGTAAAAAGAAGTAATTAAAAATTGGCATATAATACTGTAATTATTGTAAATCTTGTAAGTTGAATCACATCCTTCTTTCTGAAATATAATTTTCAGATTATTTAAGTGGATTAATTTTTTTAAAGTATTAAATTTTTTGTTGAATAATTTTTATAAAATCAAACTAACTTGGAATAGATGTATCTTTTAACAGTTCGTTTTTCAATATTAATAAATAAATTAATAAAAAAGACGATACCCGTTATGGTCAATAAAGGGAGGTAAATGTAGTTTACATTTTAGAATGCAAAACCTATCGAGACCTCCGGCATTCGTGATCAGTTGAATCTTGCCCCAAATATTATTAGTCTAGCCCAGTTTCAAAATTAAACTCCTGTAACTCATGGGTGAAGATTCATGGCGGAAGAATCAAACAAAAGGAAGAATGGTATACCTTGTGCCAATAGAAAATATACTTAGACCTTCACCAAATTTTGTAATTAATTTAATAATTAAACGCCCTGTGATTGGGCTCTGTGGCACTGACTAAAAGTAGGCCCTAGCTGACAAGACGACTAGGCCAAGCCTACAACTACAAATCTAGTCGAGTACTAGATCTAATCTAGATCTAGAAAGCTAGTCTATATCTAGTGAATTGTAGTGTAGTGTCTAGACAGCTAGACTAGACTAAGATTAGATATCTAGACTACAGTTGTCACTACACTAAGATTTCACTAAGAAGACAAGTAAAAAACACGTTTTGAGTAGGGTTTTGTTTGAGTATTATGACCAAGGCGTCCAAGGGCTCTTTATTTACTAGAATTCTAGTCTTGTCTAGATTTAATAAAATACACTGACAGTACTAAAATCTAGATTAGATCTAGATCTAGATTCTTGATCTAGTTTTTGTAACTAGACCTAGACATCTAATTAAAAAAAAATAATTAGTAATTATTAAAAATAGGCCTAGTTAGTTATAGATCTAGGTCTAGCTAGATCTCTATTTTTACAACAGCATGCCACTGAAGTTATTAGAGATTCTGTCAGGAATCTAGATTGTAGTCTAGAATATATTATAAAAATTATATATATATAGACTGCCGCCCCCTGTAGGTGTAGCTAATTACATTAGCAATGAAGCTAGATCTCTTCTGTTATAATTTTGGGCCTAATTAATATTTTATTATACTATAGTATAGTATTCTATAGATAGGCCTACTACTTTACTAGATCTATACTCAACTGCTCTCTAATCACTAAAACTAAAAGTGACTAAAACCATCTAAAATCTAAGTTGCTACAATCTAACAAACAGTCTAACACTACGACTACACTTGCCACTAAAGTTGACTAAAGTCAAAAATGCTTGGTTTTGCTTGATTTGATTTTGGTGCTTCTCCTTTGCTCTCACATATGCTCAAAAAATGTTTATCAATGCTATTTGTACTTTGTGCATTAGCAGTTATAACTTGCACTTACTAAGTTACAGCTGAATCTCAGTATTGAAATATATTGAAAATGCACCAATATTAATTTTATAAATATAGACCACAAGCTGATTCTACATAGATCTGTTATAGATCATACATTCTCTAAAAATTAATTTCACTTAAATGCCTTTTAAATATCCAGATAGGGTTAAAATTGTACTGTTTTTCAAGACTAGGTGCAAACTTAAAATATCACCTTGTTATCAGAACTATGCACACCAGCTTCTTGATATGTTCAACCTTATACTGAAAGTTGAATAAGAACTTAATCAGTCTTAATGTCTTCAATTAAAAAAAAAATTGAAACAATTCAACGCTTCCATCTTTTGTTACATGTTAGGTAGGTTGAAATGGAACACCGCCGTGACCATAACTCATTTTCCCCCAAAATCAAACCTTGTAATTCTAAAGTCGTGAAATGACATGTGGGTGTTGTAGGTGTTGTTTAAGTAAGTTGCCCTAATCCAGAATTTTTAAAAATTAATTTTCTAAATAAAAGTACACTTAATAAAAGTAACTTGGGATATTTAAAAAGTATTCACATCTCTTAATTATAATATGTCTATACAGTAAAATGTTAAATTTTCATTTTAAAAATAACTCTTCATTATCAGATTTGTTACAAAAGTTCAAGGCAAGAGTACTTAAAAAATTATATGGAGATCCGGAAAGTGATTCCGATGATGACCATGCAGATGAAGCTAGCAATTCTTCAGCACTGTCTGGAATAGATACTGATCGAGCTAGAGAAGTTAAATTGTATGGAGCAAAGTGCTGCCCAACTGGGAGCAAACATATAAGACATGTCAGTGAACCAGTTCATCTAGTTGGCTCATCTTCTTATGCTAGTGATAATGAAGAATCTGGTACTACATTTTATATTTTACTTGCTAGTTGTTTTCACCAAAAATTATCTGACAAAAAAACTTTTTAAAAAATGTAATTTAGTTTTAAACATTTTTTTTTTAAATTTTTTAATAAGAAATATTATTTAGATTAGTGCTAGATCTCTTTTTTTTTAAAAATCTAGAGTCTAGTAAAAGAAAAGTTAAAGTAAGGAATAACACAAATTAAATAATATAGATCCATCTATCTAAATTTAGCAGTTTTTAAATAAAAACTAGCACTAACATGATTATTAAATATTATATATTCTATTTTAGAATGTGTTGTTAACATATTTCTTTTCTCTGTGCAGAAGGAGGTTCGACTTTAAAAAGAGAAAAGAGAAAAAGAAAGCATACTTGTTCACAGGCATTATTAAAGGCACAGCTAGAGGCATCTTCATCATCATCTGGGAGTAGTCACCACCCAGGGGGATCTGCACAACCCAAACAGACACTGGGCCAACAAACACTAAGCAAAAATCAGAAGAGAAAGTTAAAAAAGAAACATAGGGCATCTGATAGAAGAACAAGCAGCAGTCAGTCTACGGAATTCCAGTTTGATTCCAGTATGAACAAATGTGTACCTTCAGAAGAAAGGTTAGAATTATTAGAGATGACTTATTGTTAATATAGCAGTATTTTTAGGTTGACCAAGCCACCCATATTTATTTTACTATATTTTTAACATTATGATAGACATTAATTTATTGCAAAATAGTATTAAGTGCTACTAATTTTTCTTTGTAAACAAAAACATTAAATTTTTTTGAATTAGGCATCATTTGATTAAAGAACTGTTTCTATTGTAATTTTTATTTGAATTTCAAAGCATTGAAAATAGCTTTTTTGGTTTACTTCTATGTAATGTAGTGAGGTAAATACTTCTCTATTCTACAGAGTTACTTTTATAAAAAACAGTAAAGACAAGTTGAACTCCGTTTTAGAATTCCTTGAAGCCATTTGGGATGTATTCTTTTCTGACCGTAAGTTGTTACATAGAATCTTAAAGAATGTTTAATATTTTGGCTTGAACAGGAACTGATGGAATACATATTTTTTCAACATTTACATTTCTATTGAGATCTATATTATTTAATCTAAATTTTAAGGTGATTTTTTTTCTCATTGATTTTAAATTTCGTTTCTAGATCCAAATGAAGCCCCTCCTAAAAATGATATTAAGCACCTCTTGACTACATTGGAGAATGCAGAAAACAATGAAGTTCATCTTTTATTCTCTGTGATGTCAGCTCTTGTACTGCAAGGTCAAGATAAGTCTTTGAGGAAAATTGAATGCTTTCAAGAAAAAACATCTTTGGATCCAGGTGAAACCTAGTTAAAATTACTGTTTAAGCCATTTATGATATAAAAAAATAGCTACTCATAATTATTCAGCTTAAAACTTAAAATTGTCTAAAATTATTGATATTTTAAATAACAAATTTCCCATTAGAACTAATAAATGAAAGTTTAAAATACTTTTTTAAACAAATAAATTACTATTATTATTTCAGAGTTATCTGCACTTGCAACCAAATTATTCACTTATTGGACAATGGATGTGATGAACAGCTGACATTCTTAAATTTTAAAAAATATTTTAAAAAAAAAAACAGTTTATGAAATGTAAATATTAAATTTTAAAATCTCATGCAGGGTATGACATTGCTGTGTATAAAGGCATTTAGTATATTGTTTGATATTTCTTAAAATTCTTTATATTTCTTTAAAAGAATGCCAGAGATTTCAGTTCAGCTTTTTAATATGGGTAAGATAAATCTCTTATAACATGTTAATTAGACTTTGTATCTGCATCTATGCAAAAAGCAGATTAGCAGGTTGTAAAATATTCATGTGGTGTCTTTCAGTAAAAATAAAGGTATTATTTTAGTCAATGTATTTATTCAAATCTTAACAAGGCACAAAAAAAGTACAACTCAAATGTTTTGCTTTGCATATTTTTATTGAATTTTTGTAACGTTCCATGAATTTTAATTAAGGTCACATTTTCTCCAAATTTTATAGCAACTATTTTTTTAATTGTATTAATACTGCATCATGAGTCATACATTTTAAAAATGTATCGACAATGAATTTCTTGCTAATCTTGTGACAAGTCATTCTCAGCTTTTGATTTACCTGCTAACGGTTTCCTAACATCAAGCTTGGCATGGATAAGTTTGTATTATTTGTAAAGATGAAGGTAGAACAAATCTTAATATTTGTAATTTGAATGAGCTCTTTATAATATCAATAGAAACTTTTGTAGAGAACATTTTAAATTTTTACTGAATTGGTTTCTGTAATATAAAATATTGAGGTAAAATTTTTCATCATAATTTTATTTTACCTTGAAGTATTTTCAATGGATCATGAATATCAGTATTTATTTTGAACACTCATGGGTTGAACATTTGTATTATTATTTAAAAGATGTAAATTTGTATAAAGAATACATTTTAACCATCAGAGAGCATATTTTCTGGGTTACTATTTTTTTTATTTGTGTTGGGTATGTGTTGTCTCTTTGTTACCCCTTCACGGAATTAGAATATTCCTCTTGAATTATGTTCAGCACTTGATGCAAGATTTTGTAGTAAGTTATACATTTCAAAGTTATTCAGTAAATGCTATTACTCTACTAACATTCACTATAGAAAAATAGTGAGGAGCAAAGGAGCTTTTCATACAGCACAGGAACAAACCGTTTCCATATGTAAAATAGCATTTCTTGTTATGCATGGGATAAAAGAAACGACCAAAAAGAAAAGAGCTTAAAATACATAGAGATAATTGAAAACATGTTTGTGACCACAAGATTTTTTCCTGCATGTGAAAGTCACTACTGCAGATCAAAGAATATGCAAAAGAAGTACTTTGCTGCCTCCAAATTGCTAAAATTATTTATACAAGATAATCAAGATCTGCGAGAGACAATCAAAAGCTAGTTACATCATATCAATAATAAATCTGGATTGTCTTGCTCTGACATTTGTGATGGGTGTGTGAGATTTGTATGCTGAAATACTGGCTGCTGAAATAGCATATATTTTATTCCAAAACCTGAAAACAGGTTTGAGGTGGTCTTAATGATAGGAAAATTCAGCTTCAAAGCTAAGCCAAGACAATGCAGTAATTTGGAAAAAAATCTGGCATTGCCTCTGGTATTTGACAAGACTGCTAGCTAAGTGACACCTATGGATATATAGTTAGATTTAGTGCCAACATTTTGACAGGGAAAATCTGTACCTACCATTTATCCACAAGCCAAATAGTGCTAATGATATAAGGAAACTTTTAATCATGTCAATATTCCACCCAAAGTCACTTTTAGAGAGGCATAGACACAGTTACTGTATTCAGAATTTTAATAATTTTTAATAATATAAAAATCCAGTGTTTTATTTTGATTGATTTTGGAAAATTTATTTAACAAAAAACAAAAGAAAAAACAAAGTTAAGCAATCTCATCCTGTTAAAAATCATTTGCTACAAATACGCCAAATATTTATTTCATTGAGAAAGTCCAGTGCAGAATTTTGATGCAAAAAGTACTTAATCTCTGAATTAGTACATAAAGTATTAAAGTAAAAACAAAATTATTTCAAAAACTTGCCAATACAATTAGCTAGAATATGCCCCTATATAATAAAAAAGACCTCTGTACATAAATCATCAGAAGTTGTTTAATCTTTAATGTATGATATCGGTGCCTATTGAAATTTTCTCCATTATCTCAAAATGGATATTTTGTGAATTAGTGTTGGGAGCTTCTCATCTCTAGCCACCTCAAGTTAAAGACTTTGGGGCCGTCGCCACCTATTGTCAAAGCTTGCTGTCCAAATAAATACTGAATTTTTATTACTTGGTCCAGCTCACTTTTGGTATGTCAAAGTGTTCAGTCAAGTTATCCAACTGCTGGTTGAACTCCTGCAATGATAAAATTATTCAAATTAACAACATACAAAAACACCAGAAAAATTATTGCATGTAACAAAAATACTTTTAACACTTTGCTGAACACAAAAACCGTAAACAAGTTTGTTGAAATTCCTAACTACTTACCATAATTCTTTCTTTGTGGGATTTTGATGCCCGCTGAAGAATTTGCTGTTCATTCTAAAATATAATGAATACAACATTACTATTGATGCAATAATTAAAATTGAAGTTAAACTGCATTAAAGTTGGAATGAATTTAAGTATAAAAAGATTTTAAAAAGTATTCAGAGTAATAATTGTATATACTTTAATAGCTGAACATAGTTTAGTTTAAAGTACTAATGGCAAGCTACTACACAGTATTTACTTTTTTCTTTTTAGCCCTCTCAAAAGCTAATTCTGCTTTTGTCTTGGATGGTCTTGCTGTTAATTCATGTCGTTCCTCCTTGCTTGTCCTTGCAACAAGCTCTTCCAATTTCTTTTTTTCCTTGTCCTTCTTCTTTTTCCTAATAGACAATAAAAGAATATGAAAACTATATTTATGTTCTAAATATCTTTATAATACTAACATAGACCACTGTTTATAAGTTTGTATTTTTATACATATTTTAAAACAAATTTGATTATCTATTTAATTTTAAGTATTAGAAGAAGTGTCTGCTAATAAAAAGAAAGTAGCTGTGCAATGCATGCTGTCTTGCGTGGTTTCTTGTCATATGCCTTACAGTTAGCACAACTATAAGTTGCATTCTGGAAACATGTCAGTAAAAGATTATGTAAAGAGTTTGAGAACAGCATGTTTCCTTTATTTTTGGCAATAGAAGTTAGAAAGACAAAAAAAAAAGCTTGGTGTAAAAGCATACAACTTTTTTTGGAAAAAGAGGTTTGGTGGGAAAATAGTGATTTTTTTCGGCTGCGTGTTTACTGCCTCTGTATTTTAACAAGGCCGATTCTAGCCGGAAAAAGATGTGCATAGATCTACAATTACCTAGCTTTTGTCATCTACGTGTTAGCTGTTAAGGCCTATGTTTTGTCTTAATAGGACAGGGATTAACATAGTAGATTTAAATAGACTATTAAAATTGATTTTAAAAAAATATTTTATACTTATAGATAACTGAATTATAAACCAAAATCAATGGCTAAATATATCAATAAAGTAAAGTTTCCCTTTCAAACCTGACGGTCCATGGGGCAAGTGAAGTAGAGTTTACGTGTTTCTGTGACCTCGGCATATTAGCCAGAAATTAACTTTAAACAATAGTGTTTGTGAGCAAGATTTGCTATATTAACAGCGACCATCTGTAAGATAGAGTGGATTCCCCCGAATCTCTAACTATAATAATTTTACCAAAAAAAAAAAACTTAAAGATTAAAGGCTACAAGATGGCTGCTAAAGCAAATGAGCTTAATTGCATCCGATGAAAACATCACTAGTCTTCATTTTGTACTGAAAAGTTTTAATACAATTATTTAAAAATAGGTAGGCCTACATTAGGCATTTTGATGAACATTTTTTTTTAATAAAAAATGTATCCATAAAAGCTAGCACACTAGTAAACTAAGCCAATTTATCATATTTTAACTTTTACTTTTGTATATTTTAAGTGATATTTCAGAGTTATTTGAGTTAAAAGACAAGAATATTTAGAACTATTTTCACTTAAGCGACGCAAGACAAACAAAGAAATGAGGTCAAAAGTACATCTGGAAATTCTTAAATAACTGACTGAAATAGAAATGGATAGTTCCATTTTCTAAAATTAACTATGGCATCGTATTCGGTAGTTTTATCCCTCTACTGTTTCGTGAAAGCGAAACTGGTCACCATTTTAGTAAGCGAATGAGCCGTAAGATGTAGTCTGGCGCGTTGCTTAGATGGTAGGATTGACCTCTGACCCTGAAACGTCACGCGTCGTTTTCTGACAGTTTTTACGTTTATTTTAGGGGTCCCATCCACGACAAATTAAAAAACTGTTTATATCGCAAATTCTCATCATTATTTTATTGCAAATTGCTAATAAAATGGATAATATGCCTTAGAATGCCAGAAAAATAGCAAGATTCGTGGTTGTAAACAATGAGAGGATTTCTAGTGGAGCACTCTCTGTAAAAACTGAACTGCCGCCAAAACGACAGACTAACGGGGAAAACGGCTCGACTAACTGTACATTAATATATAATTGATATATTTATCATGTATATTTACAGTATTTTTGATTACTTTTTCCAAAATCTCACTCGAGGATGAGGTACCCACGCTGACATTTCTATCCGCTATTTTTAGTATCATGACGTCATTGTTATGCTAGTTACCTCACAGAAAAAACTAGTTTTTGTTTTTTTGCGGAATGAACTGTTAAATCTAGTATTTTAATTATAATTCAATTGTAGCATGTGCGGAAAAAGTAAAATTATGGACATTATTATTGTATTAGTAATTTTATTAGTATATTAATTTTTTTTCTTCACTGTGGGCCGCCAGTTGCTGCATTCGTGACCGGTGGTTAACCTCGTCAACGCTGCGTTTATATAATCAGTGATGCTCGTTCAGTGGCCTTTTTCAGAGCTAGGCCTAATTACAGGCGATTTTTAGACTTAATTGATCGGCCGTTAGCCTTTTTCATTGCTGCGTATTTAAAAAAATGCTCGTTCAGTGGCCTTTTTTTTTGGCGCTAAATAATCTGTTTACGGGCATTTTAAGCGTTTATTTATTTATTTTTTTAAGCTAGACGTAGATCTAGTTAAAAAAATTTTTTTTTTATACAGCTGGCCGTCTAGCATACCTGATATGTGAACTTTTAAAAAAATGACCGAACTTTAAAAAAAAAATGACAAGAAGTAGGGAAGTAGGTCTGTTTTTCAATTTGCTTGAAGAAGGGGGGGGGGGGGGGGAGAAGAGAGAGAAGTGAAGACACCGACCATCTAGTGTACGCGTGTTCATTCTATGACGTGTACTATAGGCCTGCTGAAGTCACGGTAAGCAAGCAATCACGCGAGTGACGATGTTTGGAGATTTTATTTTTAAAAAATAATCACATACGTCATGTTTTCAAGATGAAAAAAAAATGTAATGTAAAAAAAAAAAGACACTCAGCTGCCACGCTGTTGACTCAATATAATGTGAATTGAGTGTAAAATGTATTTGCATTTATAAACTATCATAACTATTACTATCATATTATTTTAATCATATTTATTATTTAAAATTAGAATTTGAAATAAAATATTTATTATGGTCATTTGATTTATGCAGGTGTTCATTACTTCTTAAATTGGTATGAATATCATGTGGAGTAGAATTTAATAAATAATAAAATAACTAGATCTAGTTTGATTATCAACGAGTTGCTTTTTGTTATTTTCCGGTGAGTAAATTACCTAAGCTGACGCAATTACCATGGCGGGAATTAAAAGCTCGTGTACACAAGTCCACGACGTCATGTTATGCCGGTCGAGGGCCAAGAACGCTGTTTTGTCATTCATTTTCCACTTTTGATTAATTTTCAAATTCTCTTTTTTCTCGTTAACCGAGTAAGCTAGATATTTAAATGTGGTGTCAAATGTTCTCTTAAGGGGTAAGGAAGTTAATGGTGTATTTGAAATAACAGAATATTTTATTTTAAAAAATCCATAATTCAACCTAGTAAGATGCCACGAAAATGACAAACCCGGAAGCATTGAATCGAATGGCCTAGCCTAACTACAATAACAATGCCTACAACATCTGATGTCTGATACCAATGAAACTTTGGGTAATCTATCGTTTTGGGTACGTAAAATCGCCCGCGATTTGTAATGTGAAAAACAGGTGACTCCTTAAATTTTAATAATTATTTCACATTTTGAGGAAGATTTATGTTTTAAAAAATTCAAAAATGTTTCCTTGATTCATTTATGTACCTGTTTTTAAACAATTGAATTAAAACTTTTCCGTAATAAATGAAGACTAGCGATGTTTCCAACAGATGCAACCATGCTCATTTACTATAGCAGCCATCTTGTCTAAGTTTTATATTTATAAGCTTTTAGCGCCAGATTCAGGGGGAAGCCACTCTATTTTACAAATGGCTGCTGTTTATATAGCAAATCTTGCTCTCAGACACTGCTGTTTGAAGTTAATTTCTGGCCTGTATCGATATATTTAGCCATTGATTTAGGTTTATTATTCATTTATCTATAATATTTGACACACAAGTATGACAATATACTTCTATTAAAGCCTTGACAATGAGATAACGTTTTCGTACATAAATAGCCGCGGGCGATTTTACGTACCCAAAACGATAGATTACCAAACTTTGAAACATTTGTTTGTAACTTTCAAAACAAATGCTCCTAAAAATGTGAAATAATTTTTTTAAATTTAACGAGTCACCTTTTTTTCACACTACTAGAAAATCTAGTCTTCGCCGATTTTACGTACCTAAAACGATAGATTACCAAAAAGCTTTTTCTGAGCAGTCACTGCGTTTTAAAATTGTAACAAAAACCGGTAATCTATCGTTTTGGGTACGTAAAATCGCCCGCGGCTAGAAATGCGCGAAAAAGTTGCCTCACTGTCAAGGCTTTAATAGAAGTATATTGTGATATATTTGTGTCAAATATTATAGATAAATGAATAATAAACCTAAATCAATGGCTAAATATATCAATATAGACCAGAAATTAACTTTAAACAGCAGTGTTTGCGAGCAAGATTTCCTATATAAACAGCAGCCATTTGTAAAATAGAGTTGCCTTCCCCTGAATCTGGCGCTTTAAGTTTGCAAAAAAAAGAACTTAAACAAGATGGCTGCTATAGTAAATGAGCATTGTTGCATCTGTTGGAAACATCGCTAGTCTTCATTTATTACTGAAAAGTTTCAATTCAGTTGTTTAAAAACAGGTACATAAATGAAACAAGGAATCATTTTTGTATTTTTCAAAACATATATCCTCCTCAAAATGTGAAATAATTATTAAAATTCAAGGAGTCACCTGTCTTTCACATTACTAGTCGCGGGCGATTTTACGTACCTAAAACGATAGATTACCCAAAAACTAGGCCGTTCGAATTCACAGCTTCCGGGTTTGTTGTTTTGAAGCCATCTCACGGCTCATGCGCTTACCAAAAATGGCGACCAGTTTCGCTTTCACTAATGGGTAGAGGGATAAAACTAATGATTACGAAGCCATCGTTAATTTTAGACATCGGAACTATCCGTTTCTATTTAAGTCTGTTGTTTAAGAATTGTCGGATCTACTTTTGGCCTAATTTCTTTGTTTGTATTTAACGAGGCCGTCGAGAGAAAGTCACGCTTATTTAGCTTGCGTTTCAAGTCGAATTAACTAAAGCAGGTGCGCTCGACAATAACTTTTTTATTTTTTACAATTTTTATAACATCTTTACTATCAAATAAAAATTGAATTGTTTAATGAAATTAGGGTGAAAACAATACATTTGAGGGTGTAAGTGATCACCCCTCAATAATGCCATTTTATTATATTCTTGTTTGGTGAAAACGAGGCGCGGGAAAATGTGTGCCGCGCAAGAATCCAATCATTTGGCTAGATTTATGACTGTTTTTTATGTCATACCTAAAAATAGAATGTTTACGCTTTCTTCGTTGATGATCGTTTTTATTATTTTTTAAATTGAAAGTATGAATTATTAGTTAGATTGCGGATTTTGTAACTTGGTATACTTACCTTTTATCAATTTAAAAAACATAGCATGCTAATTGTGAACAAATATAGTCATAAAACACAGAAATATAAAGTTATAATTGCGATGTGCCACACCCGGGCCACACCCCCTCAAGAAAGCATGTGTTTATTAAGCTGTTTATCTCACTTTACAACAGTAATTAAAATTAATTTTCAAATTTTTATCACTTATTGGGTAAGATTAAGCACATGTTTACCAAAAATAAAAATAAAACAAAAGCAAATTCTGTTTTAATGAAGGTCACGGGTGAAGTTTTTTTTTCCTTCTGTCACGTTCAGTGGAGGGTGCCACAGGCTGACCTGACTTTGGAATTTTTTTCAGTAATAATGACTTTGCACAGAAAGTTAAAATATGCTAAATTAGCTTAGTTTACTAGTGTTCTAGCTATTATTGATACATTTTTAATAAAAAAAATCATTCTGTAATTCTCATCAAACAGCCTACCCAAAAACCCGTGTTTGAGTCTGTGTTGTCTCTCAGGGTCGACCTAAAAGCACTAAAAAAAACTCATTGGGTGACCAAACACCCTATCCCCACCTGGGCTGTGTTACATATAGATCTATAGTTAGAATTAACGTACTTTTTTCCTCCTTGTTCTTGAACTTTGAGGTTTAGACCTCCTTTCTGGACGGCTGCGTATTCGTCGTCCATTTTACAACCGGAAATAAACACAATGGATTTGAACCACAACAATATCGTCTCTGGTCCAATTGTCGAAACGTTATTGAATTTTCCAAAGACACACCCACCCCCACAATAGATCTAGTTAACACTAATGGATAATTTCAATTTAATTTGCTATTGTTTTTATTTATAAATTTATAAATATTTATAAATATTTGTAAACGCTGGATTGTACCATGGAGTCAAATATAGGCCTACTGAAAAAAAAATTACGTCAAAGAAAGCACTCATAAAACGGTCAATGACTCAATATGTGTATGATTTATACTTCTGAATGTCAGCACGACCCAGTAATAGTAATAGTTTGTTTTCATTCAATTAAAATTACATTATACCTCAGAAAATAAAGTTATTTCTGCGGAATTTCGTGACAATGTGTGACGAGGGGGTGGGGGGGGGGTTGGGTGGGCAGAAAGTGTGACTTTTAAAAATGCAAGTAATTGTAGAAACTGAATTTTAGCCGATATTCCATCGTTTTTAAAAGACTTTTTTTGTAAATTGTAATAAATATTAAGTAATATACTTTATGATGACCAAGCTTTAAAAATATCTGAAAAAAAAAGGATATTTTTTTAGCGTGAGATATGCGCTGTTAGTAACGATGAACGACGAGGGGGTGGGGTGTAAAAGTAAAAATCGTAAAAAAAAGCGTGACATTAGTTTTAGTCACGTTATTCTATTATTGTATTAAAATGCTATTATAGTGAGCTGAATACCTTTACTAAAATCAGCACCCTTTTCCCAAATAAATTATAATGGCGCCATAGTTTCGTTATGTTATCTCTGTGAAGAGATGAGCAGCATCCCCCCTCCCCCGTAGCACGTCCACCGCCCCCTGCCAGACGAAGAAGAAAATATGTAATTTATATACAAAATAATTGTATACTTTAACTATCGTCTGTCTATGCCCCACCCCTTCCCCCGGAATTTAAGCCCACGCCCTCAAGCTTAAACTAAAAGAACAAAGGAGAAAACGTTGATTATCCCTAGATCTAGATCTATATAATCGTAAGATCTATATAATCGTAAGAATAAAGTATGAGTGACTAAGCCTGTTCACTATAGGTCAGTCGAAACAGTCTAAGGGGCGTCCATAAATGACGTCACACTCGTAGGGGGAGGGGGTCCGTAATTTTGTGACGGTGTGTGATGAGGGGGGGGGGGTGTTCAGATGGTGCGACGTCACACTTTAGCATTATAAAAAGCACTGTCAGAAAATGAATTTTAGACGTTATTTCGCGTTTTAGAAAACTGTTTTAATAAATTGTAATAGGAATTGATTAAAATACTCTATTTTGACAGAGTTCAGATAAGATTTTGGATTAATATCGATGTTTAAAAAAAAAATCAACTGCATTTTTGAGGGGGGGGGGGGGGTTGTAGGTTGAGGTGTGACGTCATTTTAGGGGGGGGGTCTAGCTTTTTGTGACAATTTGTGACGGAGGGGAGGGGGATGTAAAAATCGTCAAAAAAGCGTGACGTCATTTATGGATAACCCCCTAACATTATTTTAGCGTTTCTATAATAGCTGTACAAAGCATATAGTAACAATAATCAATATTTTTGAAATCAAATAATGAATGTAACTAATTTAATTTTTTAAATAGTTTTAAACTAGGCCTAGCCCGGCAATAATTTTTATTTTAAGACCCCAACCAAGGCTAGGAATAAGAGCGCCGCCTGTTGGAAATTTTTCTTTGAATTTTTTTATGTACAAAAACATATTCCTTAAATAAAAAAAACAAAGTTATCTTTATAATCGACAAAAAAAAACTACGTAGTCTACTTAATTTTAATATAGGCCTAGATTTTATATCGAACAATAACTTAAAAAAAACTGTTTCCATCGTTGTCTTAACTCCACAAAACGTTTAATGATTACTCCCTAAAATTTCTTTTGTGTTTGTGCGTCCCTTGCAACGGGGTTGACAGACTGTCTTGTCCAACCTACCACTTCATTATTTACAAATCGGTGTTGGGTTGTCTTCTGCTCCTCTTTGAAATGCCTAGACGTGCGCTAAGGTGCATTGTTGATCTTCAAATACACGCAGTAAGATATATTTAAAATATTTAGCATACGTAAAACATACTTAAATCTATCCGAGTTGGCAATATTTAATTTTTTTTTAAAGCAGCGGTAGGAAAAAAAAAGATCTTCAAAAATAAAATAGTAGATTCATGTCGAATCATGTCAATTAGAAGTCCCGCTTTAAATTCTACTATTCTATTGCTGTCCTCAATAAAAAGTTTAGATTGCTTTGATTGAACATTTTAAAGAGAAAGAGGTGTAATCATCTAATCAAGTACATAATAATTAATAAATAATTATAATGCTGAACTTTCAGTGATTAGTGACCATGTGCAGTAGGACTGTAGTGGCTGTAGTAATAGTAGTAGTAGTAGATACTAGAAATTTTACAAGGACAAAAACAAACAAATACAACAACACACTACTATCATTCAACTGCTAATTTAAAAATTAAATTGTTGTGGGACAATTATTTTGATATTTCAAATTAATAATTATAGGCCATTGGGCCATTATAACCATTATATATAAGTAATTATATTTATAGGCAGAATGCCTGTGATCCAAAAATTAGACTATAGGCCTATTAATATTAAACTGCATAAATTATATGTTATGTAGTCGTCCTAGGGTTTGACATTTCATTACTTAAACTGATATTACATAAGCAAATATAATTTAATATTTTATTTTGCTATTTCCCTGGCTTGGCTGTATTGAGGTTTTTCTTTTTGCTGTTATTAAAACTTTGGCTCTACTTGTAACCCTAAAATCCAAGTAGGCCTTTTTTAATAGAAAAAAATATCAATGAGATACTGTATTTGTATTAGCATACTGGTTGTCCATAAATGACATCACACTCTGCAAAGGGGGGGGGGGCATTGTAGTTTTGCAACATTATGTGATGAGGGGAGGGTTCAGATAGTGTGACATATGTTACACTTTTGCATTTTTAAAATGTAATGGTAGAAATTGAATTTTAGCTGTTATTTTACATTTTATACAATCATACTCTGTGTTGAATGAGCTCAGTCATTTTAGAAAGAAATCAATGTTTAAAAGAAAAATCAGTTTTGAAGATTGAGGTGTGATGTCATTTTAGCTGGGGGTCTGACTTTTTGTAATGGTGTGGATGGAGGGTAGGTAAAAATTGTCCAAAAAAGTGTTAGGATAGTAATAGTTTATAGCCTTTTGTGTGATACAAAAAAGGGCTCGGGTTAAGTATCATTAAATTCTTTATGAGAAAAACTCGATTGTAAATTTTACTTTTCAATTAGTTCTGCATTTATTTCAAATGGGATGAATATAAAATTATTACTCTTTTACAGTTATCTGCACCTGGTGTGTGGCTGCCAAGTAAAGAAGATGTTTACCTTAGTGTTTCACTCTTTAACCAATATAGAAATACACGACTGCTTACATCAATTTTTCCACTGCTTGTACATGAAAAATTTCAATTTGAAAAGGTAATTTATAAAGAAAGTAAAAAGAGTGAATTTAATCTACTATAATCTATTATGTTTAAACAATATATGCAGTTGGTTTTTATTATAATGAATAAAAAAAAACAGCTTTTTTTTTTTAAATTGTAGAACTTTCCAGTTTCCAACATTCCAGGATCTATCTGGATTGTTCACCAAAATTTTATTTATAATAATTTAATTATAACACCAACACTTAGTATCATTAATCTGTTTAGGAGAATGGTGCATCGCCTACCCTTCTATTTTAGATCATGAGATTTTTTTAAAGGCATAATGTTTAAAAAATGGTGTGGTTTAATGCCAGAGTACTTGACTCGGGAAATCTTGACTTAGGTTCCTGGGCTCTAGTCCATATGATGTCCCTGAGTAGATCCAACTTGTATGGGTACCTGACTCATGTTAGGGAGAGACTTCTGGGCTTAGCACTATAAAAGTTAAATTTATTCATGTAGAATGTGCTTTCTTTATTGGGTTCATCTATTTAATTATAAAAGAGATTTTTTAGCCTTTAATCTTAAAGAGATTTTTTCATCTATGCAGCATAGCTATGAAGCAGTTTATGCTTATATTTTGTATATGGATCTTATTTTACATATAATTTTTTTCTGAACTATCTTTCCACAGACATATTACACAGCAGTAGACCCATCACATGTTGCTGAAATGCTTGAAGGTTTATTTTCTTAGTTCTGTCAATGTGTCAAATACTACCTAATTAAGCAAGATACTTAAAAAAACCAACAAATCCATACACTAGCATTAATAGAAATATTTTATAAAATAAACTTTTAATGCTAAACCTTAAATTATAATGTTATTATCTTTTATATTAATAATAGACAAGATCTTTAATTCACAAAGCAAATTTCCTTTCTTAGATTACATTGGTTTCACTCACATTTTAAAAAGTAAAAATTATAATTTAAAATGCAGCATTCAGAAAGAAGTTATAAAGAAATATTAACAATAAAAAAATCTCTTAGCCCTCTATTTGTTTATTTACAACAGTTTTTTTTTAAACATTTTTTAAATTTAAAAAATTTTGTAATTTTATTTTCAATTGAATACATGATGATTTAGCTAGTTTAAATTCTAGAAACTGAAAACTTTTCTTTTCTACATTATTCGTTTTAAAAACTTACAGCTATTATTAGATTTTGGTATCACTGGTTGTTATGCAAGTTACTTGTTTGAAATATTACAAAATAATTATTCTTTTAGTTTAGTCTTATACTTTAGCAAAGATCAAGTTAGTATCATTTAGAATAAAAAATTTTAACCCTTTTTATAAATATATTTTTTTTTCAGATGAGTTAGTCATATTTGAATTGGTTCAACTATCTGAATACACTGATGGTGCAGTTAGACTTGCATCATTTTCAACTAATGCAAGAGATTTTCTATATCCATATCCAACCCTAGCACCATCTTACTCTGCTCATGAAAGAGAAATCCTCATGTGTAGAACCATTGCTTTTCCAGTAAGTTCTAGTTAATTTTTGCTCATTATGGATAGAAAGTTGCATGTTATATATTTTTTTTTACCTATGAGGTTTCTTTCTTCTATGAACACTATATAAAAATATCAGTTTAGATTCTTTCAGTGCATAAGATGTCTTTTATCTTTAACTACAATAATTTTATGAAAATTTTGGAGTCTGGGTGGTTGGGTCAGTAAAGCTTATGGCTGTTAAACAAAATATTACAGAAATTGAACCCCCAGGCAAATGAGGCTCCATAGTTGGGGACAGCAACCCATATCGGAGAGAAAACTCCATAATTAAACAACTGCTGTCATTTAGTTTATTCTTGGGTGGACAAAGGCTATGGAAGCAAATCCAAAAGAAAAGCAGCCTGTAATCTTAGTCAACAGCATACATGGCTCACAAAAAGTTTTACACGTAATAATTAATTCGATTAAAGGAAATTCATTCTAACATTACAATCAAGTTTGAAGAAGAATGAAAATTGATAAAAGAAATATTGTGAATATAAAAGTAAATTTATTTTTCTAGATTTTTATATGGCTTTGTTTTTAGGGAATTGCTCCAAAGCTTGAATTTTCTACAAAGACAATCATCAAAGAGTCTTATTCACCAGAACTTGATGCTCTTGATGATGCTATGGAGATGGAAAGAGTAAGTTTTATAGCCTCAAACACATGTATAAATAACAACATAATAAAACTATGTTCATTAAATACATTGTTCTATGAAGTGTATATACCAGCTTTTAAAATACATATAAAGGATTTAGAATTATGGCATTTTACATTTGCTTGTCAATCTTGTTTCCTTAAAGATTTAGAGTAAAAATTTCTTTTAAAATAAAGTCTGATGTTTTGTAATATTTTTAAAAAAATCTTTCAGACAGGAGAAAACATTGTTCATAATTACATCATCCATATGAATTATAATAAGATTATATTAAATGTACATGGGTTTTAAAATAGCATTTTATAAATTTGACTTGAATTCCATCTAGGAGTCTCGAAGCAGCAGAAAAACCAGAAGGCAACCCCAATCAAGAGCTAGGTATAATTTTTTAAAATAACTTTTTAGAAAACGTATTTAAATATTTAATTTAAAGTTACTGGGAATCACAACAGTGACTAAGGCATAAAAGAACTAGATCTAACTGCCCTTATTAAACTGTGACATATATAATATATATGACTTACATCCTGCTGATTAATATGATGAGTATTTTTTCAAAGTTAGTGGAAGTCATTGAAATAAGTAGTATAATCTAGCATTTTGCCAACAGGAATAATTATTTATCAACATTAGATAAAGAAAAGTTAAATATAATGCAGTGTTTCACTAATAAAATTGACAAAATGTAAGTCAGTACTATTGCCATCAATCACTGATAGCAAAGTACAGTGTTTTGCTCTAAGTAACACAACATCTTGATGAAAATAAAAATGATGAATACATTATTTTTGTAAAACATGTTTTTGTCAAAATGTGTCTGTTGTGTCTCTAACTCTAATGATGTTTAACAGCATTTTGAATAGCTAGTGAAGTACTAGACATGTCTATTAGGAGTGAGCATTTACAATGTTTTTTGCATCTGTAATGGGGGGGGGGTGCAATGTGGAGAGAAAGCCACAATATGATGTGAGTTGTGGGTAAGTGATGTGCGTCAAAGTAGAGAATGCTCTGCTCTGGTGTTGGGATTCAAAGTGAAGACAGTGACATCCTATCATCATTTAAATTAATTATCATTGCCTTAAGTTATTTGCATGTTGAAAAATTTTATACAACTCATTATTAAACTTTTTACCACATGTTGATTATATTAAATGTCATTTTCATTTTAATAACTAACTCTTGGTTCTGCTTGATAAAAGATCAGATTTGTGTTTTGAAAGTAGGTATGATGAAATTTTTTTTTTATTGAATTTGTTTTTCAGTTTTGTGATTTCTCTCCAGGAAATTGTATTCAGCTTTAAAGAATTTTGTCTAATTTACCTTTCTGATTTAAGTTAATGCGAATTATTTTCAAATTTGATATAGCCTTGTTTGACAAGGATGTTTTTAAAAAAAAATTATTATCTTTTTTAAAAAATAAATAAATCTGTTTCCATTCAAGAATAAGCAAGCAAAGCAATTTGTTTAAAAGTAAATAAATTAAAGAGATTAAAACTTAATTCACAAATTATGCAATAATACCTATAGTGTTATTTTTAAACTGTTAATGTTAAGAAATAATAATACTTTTACAAACTTAACATGAAATGCTTTACTCTTTGTCAACCCAGTTTTGACAGTCTGGACGATTGCTGGTCATCAGAAGAATACTCTTCACCCAATAGGAGGAGAAGCTTAGGAAGAACTGAAGAGGACAAATGTCCTCCGCATTATTGTTTGCCCACCGTTACCTCTCTTTCTCGTTCTAGGTCCCAATCTCCATCTGTCAGACGCAAGCTTGCTGACATTAGCCTTGAGAACACAATAGATCCAAGACCTCCATTTGTTGTTCGAAAGGTAGGCATATTTTTTCAACATTATCTTAAAATACTTACATGTATTTTTTAAAACTTTAGAATTTTAGAAGTGAATTAAAGTTTCCACCTTTTTAATCATGATTAGGGCTATTGTATTAACAATAATGCAACTGAGCAAGTGAGTAGTGTGTATTGTTTGCATTTATTATATTTTTCGCCTTTTTATCATTTTGTTTTGTTATTGAAGAAATAACATTGGGATTTTCAAATGTTTTTGAGCATTAACCAAAAATGATTAAATTTTACAAAATAGAATGCACGACATAAATTCATAGAAATTAATTTATTTGAATATTTTTGTAGCAAAAAATATATAATTAAATGAATGAAGCTATTAGTCATTTAAAGAAAACTTATTTTTTGTGTTAGATAAAGGTTTAAGTACTTAACATTAAAAAAAAACTAAACAATTTAAACTTGTTTCTTTTAAAATTCAGAATTAATGTACATTATTTAAACTTCAGTTTTGATTTTAAAATGTCTACTGTGACTAAAGTCTTACTATATGTTTAAAGCTGACTCAAGACCTTATAGGCAGAGTTCCTAGCTCAACAACTGATAAAACAGCCAAGAGCAAACCAAAGAGAAGTGCCTCTCCTTTTAGGCCAGCTAGTCAGCCATGTAGGTATTTACTGGAACTGTGGAGCTGTTAAAATGTATCCTAAAAAACCTAAAGGAAAAATTCAGAAAAAAACTATTAATTTTGTATTTTCACAATTTGAGCTAGTTTTTAAACCATTATTTGACCAACTGTTCTTGTAGAACTGCCATTCAATTGTATTAAAAATATATTTTTTTAATCATCTTTCACAGCTTCACCCACTGGTGATGATGATTTGAACAATTCACTTTCTTCAAAGCCTAGCTATCGTCTATCAAAGGTAGGCTACACATCATAGTTTAATTAAAATTCAATTATTGAATATAAGTTTTTTAAAATAATTATAGGAAATATAAATTGTTTTTCAACAGTTTCTTTGAAAGGTACACACTCCTAGAAAAATGTAGAGAAAATTCTTTCAATTAAAAAAATATTTGCTAAAATGGATTTTCTTCTTGTGACGTAATAGGTTATTCGCAAGCCATTTGAGGACCCATTGCCAGTTTTTAAGCCCCGCTATGGTGCCAAGGCTGAGGATGATATTGGTATAACATATATTAGATACAACAGTGTAATTTTTAAGAATGTTCTTTTTCTTTATAAATTTAGTAGTTCACTTATTTAAAAAAATATATTGTAAACACAGATCCAGAAGTTGAAGAATTGACATCAACTAAACCATCCTATGCTTCCCTGCGACCTCGCTCTGTGAGCCCTTTGTTGTACAAAAGCAGTTTTAGGGACCGCTATGGAGATTCTGCATACAGCCGCCCCTTCACTCCCAGCTACTACGAAAGATTAGCTGCCAGGGTTGGTTTGATTAACTAATACATGAAAATTATATTTTGAAACTGACTTAAACTTTATGCCTACTCTAAACTGCATTACAAACAAGTACAATTTTGATTACATCATAGTCTTAGGCCTTGTTGTTTTTATTCAAATTAAGGCAGATATATTTAAAAGGAAGATAATATTTGGTTTCTTTAAAGCAAAGCAGATGTTGAAAATTATTTGAACTAGTGTGTGACATTTTACTTTTCAACTTTTCAACACCAGGAGCTTGAACTTGCTAGAGCAAGACGCTACTCCCGTTTGTATAGAACCTACTATGATTCTCTAGATGACCTTGACCTAGAGCTTAGACTGGCAAGAATTCGAGCTGGACTTTATTATTAGTGAGGTCACTAAATACAGCCTGCTCTTAATTGTCAAGGTAAGATGAATTACAATATATATATATATATATATATATATATATATATATATATATATATATATATATATATATATATATATATATATATATATATATATATATATATATATATATATATATATATATATATATATATATATATATATATATATATATATATATATATATATATATATATATATATATATATATATATATAAGATATATATATATATATATATATATATATATATATATATATATATATATATATATATATATATATATATATATATATATATATATATATATATATATATATATATATATATATATATATATATATATATAGCAATATGTAGTATTTTTATATGCTGAAGAATTGTATAAATGTTGAACATAACTGTTGTGACAATCATTTAAAATTGTCTGTTTCAGAGAGAAAATTTTGGCATCTGGAAGGAATGAAATCATAGAGAGCTTGCCAAAACCATTTATTCTTTTGAATAGGCAGCAGCAGAGAAGAAAACATAGCTATGCTTAACTGCACTTTACCTATTTTAATTATTGTAATAACTTTTTATACAATCAAACTTTGGTAACAGTATACAAGTTGTTAAATTTTTTTACTTTAACCAAATCATTTTAATAAAAAGAGAAGTCAGTATCTGTCTCATTTACACACTATTTAAATTCATACTTAATAGCTTTTAAGAATTTTGACTAAGGCAATACAAGTGTTTATTTAGCTATAGTTGCCTATTAAGTATTGTTAGATGAAAAAACAAGTTATTTGACCAAATTACACATTTATTTAAACTTTAACAAATAAACGATGTGATGTTTTTATATAGGCCTGTATATATTAACACTATACAGAAAAGACCATTATGACCTCATCTTGGAATTTAGTGTAGACCATAAAACATGAGTGCTTAATATTATCATTTATAATAATAACGGAACTAATGTTATGTAGAGACAATTATTATTAGCTCCTGTTTTGTATTTCTTTTTAAAGCTCTTGTTTTGTAATCATTAAAAAACTAAAAATGAATGTTTGTAATCACTTTTGTATATTTGGATTTTTATAGAAGAAATTTTATTTCAATCAGATACTAAGATCTTGTTGATGTTTTTTTTAATGTTTTAACTATCAAATTTTATACAATAGATATTAAAATTTAAAATCAATATGTTTATTTTAAAGATATTTATTTTGAAGTGTACATTTTGAACAAATGCCGCCATTTAGAATTTAACATAAATATTTTGTTCTTTTATAATAGCCAGTTCCATAAAGGGATGATATTAAAAATATTGATCCTACTTTTTTGTGAAATGCCCATCTGTGATAATATTATTTTAAAAATACTAACTCACTTAAAAAAAAAATTAATAATGATACATACATGTAAATAAAATGAGTAATAAATCCTTATAATTTATTTAAATTATATAGATAGTAAAAAAGTAGATGCAAAATTATTTTGTTCAGTTTTTAAATTATTGTTTCATATATAGTTTGTATTACAATATTTGTTCAGTATGATGGCAATATCTTTTAGAGACTGATACATATGGTTCTTTCATTTCTCAATATACTTATGGTATTGCCTAAGCTTATTCAACAATCTTACAAATACAAGCCAAAAGTAAAATACATTTTGTAAAAGAAATGGATTACATTTGCACAAGGATTTTCAAAGATTGAAAGTAAAACAACCTTTGTCATAAGTATTAGGTTAAAAAAAAATGATGGAAAAAATGACATTTTCTTGGATAATCTAAAATATTTAGGTTAACTTAAAACATTATGGTAAGTCACACTAGTAACCATCTAGTGTGATCTGCCCAGGACAGAGGGTCAGTCTTAAGCCTGGACACCCCAGCTTGACTGGCTGTAAGATGATGCTAAGATAGCTAACTATTGATTCCTCTGTCATTTTTATTTAGTTCTTGTTCCCACTTCACAAAATATTTCTTCGATATATATATAAATATTTTTCTTATTCTCAGTAACAGCAACTACATTAGTACAAAGATTTCATAGGCAAGAGTATTTTACTGTTATTTTAATTATTTTCATAAACATCAATTCACATTGTACAAATGATGTATTGCTCAGTCTACACCATTTAACCCATATGAGCTGACTCACCACATAGAATACGCCGCTATTTAGTTGTTTTACTTTCTATTTTTCAGTAATTCATAATCTGTGAATTCCACACTACCAATGCTGCGACTGAAAATATTTTGCTTTAAAACACTATCAATAGCTCGTGAAGGACGATTATCCTCACCCTCACTTTCTACTCCTCCCCCCCTTGAAAGCAGCCATCTGTAACGACAGTTTACAGACGACAATGAAACGATCAAGCAGAACTTGTTATTACCTCCCAATAGTTTCAAATCGTTTAAAAACTAATTTATCTGCCCCTAATATCCGCCAAGCTCTAAGATTGTGAACATTTAATTTATTTTTAACCACAGCTCACCAGACTGGTGGGGGTGGTAGCTATATGCCTAGAGAGCGGTGGAGTAACGGCATGTTTTGGTTGGTCCCCATGAAGAGAATTATTAATATAGATGGTGCATAACATGTTGATACATGTAACACTTGTGTTGGAGGAAATACCGTCCAACATTCAGTTAAAAACAAAGAAGTTATCTATCGTTGGAGATGGTGTTGGGCCAATGGGTGCCTTTTACCCTTTGCAGGCACATAGTTTGGAAAGAATCTAGTGATGGTGATTGCTTTCCAGCATTTGCTGCCATTCTACTTTAGTCCCCTCGGTATATATATAAAGTTTGAGGGGGGGGGGGGTGCAAATCAAAAGTCTGAGGGGGGGGGGGGGCGCAAATCGAAAGTTTGTCCCTGGGTAAAAATTGGAACCCCCCCCCCCCCCCCCCCTTGAGATGATCCTGGCTACGCCACTGAAACTGCTATTCACTAACAATGAATAACTTGATGACCACAATCAAACAAAAGGACAAAGAGAAAATGAGTAGAAAGGGTCAAATATATTTTTTAACATAAACTTTCATTAATGTATGATTTTAATCTCTTTCCTACAATTTTTTTTTTTTTTTTTGCGTGTAACTTTTTTTTTTCAGTATTAATCAATTTGATCAATTTATAAAAAAAAAAAAAAAAACAACGTTGAAATTGTTTCATGAAGATTGGTTACGTCCCTTTGTGCAGTTTTTTAATTTCTGAAGTTTAATTATTGTGAAACCAAAATAAACCTGACCGAGATTCTCCTATTATTTATGTTATTTCACCACATGAAATATGTAGCTCTGTTGCATAATCAAATCATTAAAGCAATTAGGAGGTAAGGTATTTTTAGTTTACTTTTATTTGCCAGCAAAAACTCAATTTTAAATGTATTTAACCTTTAACAATAGCAACGTAATCACAATTTCAATGTAAACAAAGCCCAGCTGGTCGACCTCAGTGATCTAGATCTAGTAAAATATGGCGTCTTTTGTGGGTTGTTTACTACTAGACTAGATCTAGTACTAGTCGATCGTCTTATTTATAGATCTAGTAATATTATTATAAATAGTGATCAGCAAGTCCACGTTGCCGTCGTTGCTGCAAATTCAAGTTATCCCTTTTACTATTACTATATATTTATTGCTTACTAACAAATATATAAGCCCTAGTTTGCCCAAGTAATTGTTACAGTAGGCCCTAGATCTATTCTATAGGCATTTATAGGGTAATAATAATTTATTTAATATTTATTAGGCCTATCTAAAAATTTATGATATTAAAATTATTAAATATAGGCCTAATAAATACTAAATAGTAAATAGTAGTGTAAATAGTAGGCAATAGACAAAAACAATGGATTGTTGAAATGTTCATCATTGTGCTGTCAAGCGTGTTGATGTTTGAATGGCACTAAAAATAAATTGTACTGACCATTCACATTATGAGCCATTTGTGCTGCTGCCTGACTTAAGATCCATGTATAATGCCTTTATTTTATACTACTTTATAGATATTCCCATTGCTTTTAAGAGAATACTTTTAAGATCGTTAAGCTTAGTAGGACAGGCTACTTATAACATTGAAGTGTTAAAACTATAATTGTTTACACGCTGCAATAATTTTTTCTACTTGCCAAATTCAGGTTAAAAGGATGAAGAAGTGTAGGATCAGAAAGAGATGACTGTTAAAGGAATGGGTGTGAACCACACATAAGGTCAAGTATTCAGATTGGAGTTAGTGCAATACATTGAAAATGCTGTATGTTTTCCGAATGGATGTAGGTCAAATGATGACCTTTGAGATCTCATTGCTAATGGATACGTAAGTGATGAAAACAAATATCTTTGTAACATTGTATTTTTATTTATAGGTGAAAGTGAAGTGGGGAAAATAATCTTTGAAACTTCTATTTTTTAATGAGTTTTTTAATTAACCTTTGTATGTTTATAATACAAATCTTTGTTACTAATAGTAATTATCTGAGTTATGCAAACAGGTATTTAGTATTGCTGTATGCAAATTAGCTCTGCTTTGGTTGATGTTTTTAGAGAAAAAACTCAATGGCTTGTAGACTTATTTCTTACTTTTACCTTATTATGTTCATTGGAAAAATAACATTTTATTGCACATTAAAAAGTTGACATTAACAAAATTTTGTGTTAATATTAATTGTTTTAAAAGTAAAAATTGTTTCACCTTAGTGTTTCCAGGCTGCAAATAGAAATAGCCAAGGCAACTGGGATTCCTGTAGAAAAACAGATTCTCTTGGTTAGTGGGGGCCACAGTCTCAAGCCAGATCAGAAAGTCATGACGTATGGGGCTGGAGCAGTATGTGTTTATCTTAGTTTTATTTTTTTCACGTTCTAAATTTTGGTTAAAGTACTCTGAATGTGTAAAAGTAAAAGAAAAGATTATATATATAGGATTAAAGAATACTGATCCACTTCTTCATAATAGTTTAATTCTTAAGATAAGTACAATTTTGCAGGGTATAGTATACTATTATTGTATAGTATGTATAGTAGAGTGTATATATTACAATAATATATTTTAAGGCTCATACACATAACACATTCTTTTAAATATATTACAGGACACGAACCCAGTTTTTCTATTTAGTAAGTTAGCTATTGAAAAACAAGAAGCTCCTTTAGTAAGATCTTTAAGCATACCTAAAGGTAAGTATTGCCAGAGAAGTGAGTTAGTCACATAACTTGTGTGACTGTGAAACCATTGCTTAAATAAGTAATATTTTTCTAACACTTATTTTGTAAAATATAAAAAAATCAGCTAATCAAGTTCTAAAATGTACATAATTAATTTTCAACTACCTTAGTATAAATTTATAGCTAATTTTTTTTGTAATCTTTAATTTGAAGACTTCCTGAGTTCACTGAAAGATCACATAACAGAAGCTATAAAATTGCCCCCAAGTTTTGATACTGTTGAGAAAAGGACAAAAATAGCATGTGTGAGTTTAAAAAAAAATTTCTTTTATCATTTGCGCAGTGGTAGTCTTTTGTCATTATCAGCTACATAGTTCTTGTTGTATAATTGAATGATAATTAATTACAAAAAAAAGGTATTATTATAAAATAATTTTTAGTTCTTGTTGAAAAAAATATTTTAGGATAAAGTTCTTGTTATATTAATTTTGTTTAGTCAATATGGAGTTTGGCCATTATCAACATACAACTTATGGGTAGGATCTTGGCACTGGATTTGAAGATTATTTTATGTTATTCATTGCTCATGATATTGATAGCTATGTGCAATTCTTTCAAATGGGAAGTTTCACTGTGACAGCTAGCATCAGTAAACTTTATTATCACATTGTGATGCTATCACTATTCTCTTTCTTAACAATTGACCTCATTGTATATTTGGGTTTAGTCAGAAAGTTCTTACCACTTCAACATAAAAAAAGACTTAAAATATTTTAGTATCTCTGATTAAAATCACGTAATCATTATTATGATGAGACAATTTTGAGAAAATTTTGTGTGTATTTTGTTTCAGCAAATACGAGACAATGCCAACAAGATGTTGGGGTTCTGTAATAATGAATTCAAGGAACAGCACCTACAATACCAGGGTTGGGGAACTGTGGTGGCTAACCTAGAGGAAATAGCACAGTAATATGTGTTTTTTTTTTAAAGAAAGATGTCTAGAAAATAACAAATTTCTCAGTCATTTGTTTTTTTATTTAGAGAAATATCTAGACAGTATCACTTGCTAAAATCAATATTTGCTAAAATAAGTATAAAGAAAAGTTTTAAAAAATAATGAAAAAGAATGTGTGCAATGTTTTAAATGTTTTTGTTAAAGAGCAATGCAGAAAACTGAAGGCAAGTTTACTAAAGCAGTGGCAGCATTTCTCCCCCTGCGAGAAGGATATTTCACAATGCTAGACAAGTAAGGATATGTTCGTGTAAACAGGCCCCCTGCTGTAACATGAAATTGTTTAAATAAAAAAAATTGGATAGATATTCAGGAATCATTTCCTTTGCACCCATTGTACTACTAAACATGTCCATTGGACAGTAATTTGATTAACTCCCCTATGCTGTCTCTACCAAACATAATTATATTTTTAAAACTTAAACAACATATTTCCTACCTTAAAAAATTACCACCACTATGAACTTTAGTCTTAAAATTAAATCCTTGTAGTTTTTTGTATTATAAAGTATTAATTTAAATGTTCCAATGTTAATTTTATATTTCCTGAATTGAGTTTATAGTTCTTGTATAAAGTTTATGGTTCCTGTATTGACTCTTTAGCTCCTATATTAAATGTATGGTTCCTGTTTTGATATTCCTTGCTCTCTCTCTCTCTTTCCTAGCTTTGGTGAGACATTAGAACTTCTTGACCGCATCCCACTACTGGCACCTCTCAAACCTGTTGAGCAGGTAGAAAAAATCCACAGCAATAGGAGCTCCATGGAGGGAAGCTTAAGTTACATAACTTCCAGCACCCACATTTCCAGGAGTTTGTTGGATTGGATTTCAAATCAGGTTAGCAAAGATTTTTACAAAAAAAACTAGTTGAAAAAATCAACAAAATCTATTTTTCATAAATCTGAGATAATCTTTTCATTTTTATCTACATTTTCAGGGTCAAGGCAAAAGTATTGATGCCCTTCAGCATCAGTGTTATGACGACCTGCTAGTTGTAAGTTTTCTTGTTTGTGTTTACCCTTGTTTAAAATACATAAACTTTCCTGCAATTCCTACTGAACTCTAACCCTTTCAGTTCAACAGTGAAATGTTTGAAGTCTGTGTCCACCAAATCCAAGAGCTTCTAACTCTGGTCAAATGTGATCCTCACCAAATGAAGGAACTTGTGGGGATTGAACGGAGGTTGTCTGAGCTGGAGAAAAGGCTGAACGAGGCTAAAAAAATCGCAAAAGAACAAACTGATATGGCACAGGTGCGTTAGTAAATAAATATCTTCAGTTAATTTTTATCATTAACTTTTCAGCCTGTTGTAAGTATTTCTATTTTAACATTCCTTTTAATCTTTAACCTTTTGTTATTTTTGAACCTTTCTTTTTGACATATTTATCATTTATTTTTAAAATACGTGTCTCTGTCCCTAGGGTTTCTTGAATCACCGAGCAAGACTTACCACTACCCATGACGCAGCAACCATCTTACCTGAGCTGTGCAACAGCCACAAACAGCAGCTCATGCAGATGCTGGACAGGCAGCAGAGACTGGAGGCTTTACAGACCAATTTCCGCAAATCTAAGCAGGAGATGTCGACCAATATCCACCAGAGACTAGGGTTGGTATTTGTCTCTTAACATTGCTCTGTCTAAGGCCTATGCAATTTTAAAAGCTCACTTTTATATCTTTTACTTCTATGTTTTAATCCATCATTCTGTTTTTTTTTTTCTGAATAACTTATTTTTAGAAAGAATTCACATTTATATATATAAAAAAAAAAACAATTGTGCTAATAGTAATCGTGATATTCTCACATTTTTTTAAAGCTGGGTGATGCACATTGAGACTCAGATCTCTAAACTAGACAGTGATCTCATATTTCACATGAAGACTCTGAGAATTCTGGACTGCAACTTGCAGCTGCTGAACCAGATCAAGGCCTGCCCCCAGGTGTATGCTAACATGGTGGTAGAAGCAGCTAGGAGGAAAATATTCTCCAAAAAATTTGCACAGGTTGGTCTAGTTTTATACAGAAACATCACAAGGCAGGTAGGGGGGGGTGCAAACTATACTGGGTGACTCTATTCAAGGGGGTGACACCACAACAAAATGTAGCTAATTTTAATGAGAAAGTCTGATTTTCTGGTTAGTTAATAGTTTATTAAAGTTATATACACCATTAGGCACAGGGCGACACCATTCAGGATGGGAATGACACAGAATTTCCTATTTTTAAACTTCCCAAAAATTTCCCAATCACTAGAACTCCTGTAGGTTACAGACATAGAGAATTTTTAAATTTATTGGATAGCAGGTTAAGTTTGACATGGCTGAATTTCTAAAGAAATTTGTAATTATTTCATCTGTTGATAAATTGGTGAATTGTACTAATAAGTTATAGTTTATTGGCCTTAATTTTGTGCATGTGGATTAAGTGAAGTAAAAAATGTGTTCCCAGTGGGCTGGAACTTTAGTAGAAGATTCAAGCCAGTTGTACAAGGTCGAGACAGAGAGAAGGAAACAGTTTGCCAAGATGTTAGGTAACTTCATTTTGTTTTCACACAAAAATATTTTAAAGAAATTTTAGTTTATTAACGCTTAACTAGATTAAATTAATACTTTTTGATGATACTAATTCTGTCATTAAAATTTGCAGGTGAACATTTCTTGTTGGATACCTTATTCAAAGGTTTTGAGGATATGCCACCAAGCTTTGCAGTGAGTTAACTATAAAGATCTAAATTGACCTTTATGTATTGTCTGCGTAGCGTAATAAAAATATGTTTTAATTTGTTGTTGAACAATTTTTATCTAATTTATTAATTGTTGTTAAAATAAATGTATGTATTGTACCCTGAAGTATCCAACTTTAAATCAACAGAACAAACCACCTCCGTGTTTTGATGAAGCAGTACCTGACATCACAGTGGAAGACATCGCACTGTTAAAAACTGCTGTCCCTGAGCTTGAGGAGTCACTCAAGTTAGTTGAATTAGAATTAGAGGTTTAAGAGTCACTCAAGTTAGTTGAATTATAGTTAGAGGTTTAAAGGTCACTAGAATTAGGTTAATTAGAATTGGCAGTCTAGGGTTTGCTCAAGTTAGTTGAATTAGAATTAAAGGTTTAGGGGTCACTCAAGTTAGTTGAATTAGAATTAGAGGTTTAAGGATCACTAGAATTAGTTGAATTAGAGGTTTAATGGGTCACTGGTTAGTTGAATTAGAATTAGAGGTTTTAGGATCACTCAAGTTAGTTTAATTAGAATTCGCAGTCTAGGGGTCGCTCGTTAGTTTAATTAGTCTTTTAAGTTTGATCTGCCTCCTGTTAGATAAATCCTGCCCATTTGATACAGTTGATTCAGCATGTAACTAGTTTTTAATGTCCCCATTGTTACCATGGCTGATGATTTCTATTTGATGTGTTTCAGTTTATCCCTAGATTCCAGCACATTCCCACTTTCTTTGCTCAGCAAAGGGATCACAGAGTCCTCGTCTCACATAGTGTTGCCTCATTCCCAGTCTTCTCAGACCGAGTGGTCAGCACATGTAAGCATTGGCCTTTCTATGTAGCAAGTTCTAGCAAGCAAAGACAATTTAAATATAAGCAACTGGTTTTTTATCATCAACATGTACATTTACATAATGACACACCATGTACATGTACATTGAAACTCACTTTGAACACACTTTCATCCAACATGAACACAAAGTAACCCACCATAAATATTATATTATAACCCACCATGAACATACACATTATAACCCACCATGAACATACACATTATAACCCTCAATGAACATATTATAACCCACCATAAACATGCATTATAACCCATCATCAACATACTCATTGTAACTCACCATGAACATACATTATAACCCACCATAAAAATGTATGTTACAACCCACCATGTTTTTTATTACCAGGTTGAAGAAACCACCAATGTTCCCTGTGTAGTGACAGCCACCAAAAACCCACCGTTCAAGTTTACCATCCCAGAGTCCAATGACTCCGTCGACTACCAGCCAGCCTTGTCCAGCCTCACTGAAGTCCGAGACACCCTGTCACCAAAAACCACAGACCACGAGCCAGCCATGTTGACCAAGGAATCCCCCTCAATCATCTCATCAGCTAATGTGACAGACTCAAGCTCCACTGACCTGCCGTTGAAAATGCAAACAAAAATGAGCTCAGATTCCACATCTCCCATATCATCCAATGAATTTGCAACAGCTGATTTTTATTTTGAAGATTCCATGCCCTCCCCCATGGCGGATTCACCCCTGGGGAAGAAGGAAAAGAAAAAAGAAGAAGGATGTAAATCTGAGACCGACATGCTGGCTTCGTTAAACGCTGAACTTGCTGAGAAGTCAAACTTGATTCTGGAATTAGAACAGAAATTGAGAGACAGAGAGAACATGCTCTCAGAGATTGAGAGGGTCTCAAATCAGAAAGAAGGGAGCTCTGATGGCTCATCCACTATCGTGGCCCCGTCAGAGCTCCCCGACCAGACTGACTCAACCCCCAATGTCAGCGCTATTCAGAGCTGTGAAGAAACTACTCAGAGCTCACAAACGTCTAGTCAGAGTTCAGAACTGCTTCAGAAGCTGGAGTTGGAGCTGGAGACGGCAAAAAGTGACCTGGCCAAAGTCAGTGCCCTGCTGTCCGAGGCGGAGAGTAGAAAAGCTGATGTCCAGCAGCAGTGTGACACTACAGTGGCTGAGAAGAGCTCACTGGTTGACCAGCTGGAGGACCAGGTCAGGAAGATGAGGGAAGAGCTTGAGCAAGCCAGCAGCAATGCACAATGTGTTGAGCAGACAAAGAAAGAGCTGGAGAAAGCTCTGAGTGATTCTAGTGTGAAATGTTTGCTTCTGGAGAACGAAGTCAGAGAAGGGGGGACAATTCTACTTGGGATAAAAAACAAACTTAAAGAATGTCGTGATAAACTCAAGATTGATATCCCTTCATTGAAGGAAAATCTTCAAGAACTGAGGGGGGCAGTTTTAGACAACAAAACAGAGATGAACTCAGCTGTGGCCACAGTTATGGACTCGGTGGAAAAAGAAGTCTCACTTTTTAATTCGGCCATCTTGGCTGCAGCGTGTGCAGAGTTCAACAAGGAAAGGATAACTCTGAGGGAAGAAATTCAACGTCTGCAGGATAATGCAGAAAAATCTGTCACAGAATCAACCGAGAAACTCAGCCATCTAGAGAGCCAGAAACAAGAGCTGGCTGTAGAGATGGATTTAAAGCAACAGCACTTTGACAAGAAGTATGAGGAACTCAAACGAGATTTTGAGGCGGAGCTTAAAGATATTCAGACTAAGCATATCTTGGAAACGGAGTTGGAGGTGGATAAATGCAGGGCGGAGGTGAGAGAAAACATCGAGGAGGCTGAGAGGAATGTGGAACAGTTCAAGATCAGATACAACGAGCTGGCCAGTAATTTTGAAGAATTGAAAACAGCTTCTGAAAGGGGGAGAGAAGAACTGATCCAGAGTTATAAAGAACAAATAGAAGAAAAGGAGAGAGTGCACAAGTGTGAGAGAGAAGATTTGACACAGAAGTTTAAAGCTGAGCTTGAGGAAAAAATCAGTGAACATATCAAACAGACTACTGAATTGGAGGTGAGGTTTTTTTTTGTTGATTGTATTTCATTTAAAGCTCACTAATTTTTTTAATTTAAAATAACCATACTTTTGAAGAATTTCAAAAATCTTATAATAAAGCTTTAACAAGGTTTTATTTAACTTGAATGTCGTATGTCAAGTCAACATGGCGGGAATCTTAGGATTAAAATTTCACCCCGTTTCCACCAAACTGATTTGTTTTTACAGTTCAGGCTTAATTCATTATTTAAACTAATTTTTAATCAATTAAAAGAAATTAATTCAAAATAGAGAACAATGAAATGGGAAGGATTTAATATTTAATTTGTTTTTGTACAATTTCTGACAACAAAGACACACCTGTTTTCATACATGATCTGATCACTAGGCCAAGCTACAAGCCATTCAAGACAGCCTTAAAGAAAAAAGTGAACTTGCATTGGCTCAGATGAAGGAGCTGTTGACCAATGAACACACGCTGGTTTTGACAGAGGTCAAAGGGCAAGCAGAAGAGCAGAGGGCACAGCTTACACAGCTCCTGGAGCAGAAACAACTTGAGTTGGTTTTATTTTATTTTACATTCATTAGCTGTTTAGATATTAGATTTGTTGTGGTAGATTAGCATAATGTTTATAGACAATCAGAGGCGTAGGTACCCTTCCCGGCGCCCGGGGACAAACTTTCAATTTGGCGCCCCCTTCCCTATATTTTTTACATTTATAATGCAAAACTGCAGCTTAAATGAGCTAAAAAACATTTTTCCAACCCATTTTGGCGCCCCCCTATAGTCGGCGCCCGGGGACATATGTACGTACCCCACCCCCCCCCCCCCCCCCCTCGCTACACCCCTGTAGACAATTTAGTCTTGTTTTGATAACAGCTGGGCTTTTGATCCAGAGGAAAAGTTAGCATTTGAGTTTTATGTTTTCATTGCTTTAGCGCTCAAAGAGCATTTTAACTATTTCAGGCATGCAGAAAAACTAACACTGTTGAAAACACATTTTGATATGTGGTTTAACTATTTCAGGCATGCAGAAAAACTAACACTGTTGAAAACACATTTTGATATGTGGTTTAACTATTTCAGGCATGCAGAAAAACCAACACTGTTGAAAACACATTTTGATATGTGGTTTAACTATTTCAGGCATGCAGAAAAACTAACACTGTTGAAAACACATTTTGACATGGAGCGTGAGAGCCTAGTGAGGGAAATCAACCGGTACAAAAACTGTGAGAAGTCGGACATCGCCACACAGCTGGACTATGACCTGCTAGTGGAGCTACAGACACACTCAGGGACCCAGACAGAGCTGGAGGCAGTGTCAGAAACCTTAACTCATTCAGAGACACAAACTGGGATAGAGCTGCTGGCTGAGGTTATCTCCCTCACAAGCAGTGCTAGCTATGGCAGTGAAGAGGTAGCTGGAGAATGAGACACTAAAGCTAACTAGTTGTTTAGGTTGTGCATTAATGCATGATTCACTTAAGTATTGGCAAATATTTCAAATCTATTTATATAGGGCAAATTTAAAAAACTGGATTTTATTCATATAAAATTATTTATAATACTAAACATTTCCATAAAAGGAATATTAACTGTAAATTGACTAGAAAGCAACACATAATTCTAATGATGCTTCATACAATAATATACAAGTCTAGAATATCGCCTGCTTGTTTATGTCAAATGAAGAGCATTAAGAATAATTACAAATTACTATGTAAAATTACTAAAATATGATTAATCTTCAAGTAAAATTTGTTAAAAATTGACAAATGATAATGTTAGTTTGCTAAAAGTAATGAAAGATTAATAAAAGTAGAGATTTTAATGTAAGATGGATGAAACAATGAAAAGGTATTTTGAAGATGGATAGGAGGTTTGACAAATATTCATGAGTGAATGAATGAACCTTTCAGATGATTGCACACAAGATTCCAGCCTTGTGCCCTGATGAGAAAGACAGAGATTCCCTGGAAGTTAACAAGGCCCTGCCAGGTGTTGAAGATCTCAACATACAGTTAGCCAAAGCTCAAGGTAAACATAAGTTTCAATGTCTCAACATACAGTTAGCCAAAGCTCAAGGTAAACATAAGTTTCAATGTCTCAACATGCAGTTAGCCAAAGCTCAAGGTAAACATAAGTTTCAATGTCTCAACATGCAGTTAGCCAAAGCTCAAGGTAAACATAAGTTTCAATGTCTCAACATGCAGTTAGCCAAAGCTCAAGGTAAACATAAGTTTCAATGTCTCAACATGCAGTTAGCCAAAGCTCAAGGTAAACATAAGTTTCAATGTGAGCTTTCTTTACATTAGTCCATTCACTAAGTCAAAGCTCATATTAACTAATATTTTTTGTGAGGCTTTCTTGAGGCCACTGATTTTAAAATGCTACCAGTTGTAAAGTACTACACACTAACACAATATCAATAAATAAGTCTAATTATTGTTTATCGTGTGTGATACTTTAAAAATAAATGTGAATTTTGTATTTCTCAGAAAAGATTTCAGCTTTGGATAAAGAGGTTTCAAGTCTGAGGAAAGAGAACCAGGAAGTGACCAGCAAGATGGATCAGATGGAGGAGGAGAAGAGGCTGATGTTCTTTAGGTCAGCAACGTTGGGACATTTGTTTTGTTTATGTGGCAGTTGGATATTTTTTTGGTGAATTTATTACATGAGCAGAGACTGGGGTAACATTTAAAATTGTTTTGTATTTCTCAGTGAAGGCAAGTTGACAGAGAGCCAGATGCTTGGTGTAGAGCACCCTCGCTACCAAGACTTTATGCAAACATCAAATACAGCTGCAAGCATTATGGTGATGGAAAGAGAATTGTAAGTCCTTAGAGCTAGTTAAATTACTTGATCATCATCATTATCTTTTCCTGTTCGACACATGTGGCAGTTGAAGTAGAGTTCACATGTTTCAATTACCTCAGCAAACAGGGGATAGTGTGCCCAGCTGCCTTTGTTTCCCTAACATGAGTCAGGTACCCATTAGAGCTGGATGGACTCTGGGACTTTTGACAGACTCCAGCCTAGGATCCAAACCTGAGACTTTTGGTTTAGCAGTCATAAGCTCTATTATTCAACCACACCATCCCCCAAATTACTTGATCAGTTGTTTTATTTTGTTATGAATGTAGTTTTGTCAAAAAATATTATTGAAGAAAATTAATGTTGTTTTTTTTCATCACTTTTGACAGGTCTTTTGAAACTAACACAGTGGAATCAGATGTGGTAAGAATTAAGTGATGCATACAATTTTTTATTACAATTATTTTGTTCTTTTAATAAAGATGTAGCTTTTTGTAGAACTAAATAAAATATCCCTTTCTTTAATTCAGGTGAAGGCTAAAGACCAAAAAATTGCACTGCTTGAGAAAAAGCTGGTATGTAAGATTTGTGCTTCATTGTTGTATTTACATTTTATGTAAATATTATCTCAAACTACTTAGGTTAGATGTCCAGAAAATTGCAGATCTATATGTAAAGCTGTGTACTAAAGATTTTTTGAAAATTTTATTTTCAATGGTAAAAATGTTAACAGATGGAAATGTCCATGACAACTAAAGAAACTAAAGACAAGGAAATGGCCAGTGATAACAAAGTTTCAATAAGAGGGTACAGTTTTTTTGTTGTTGTTGCAATAATTTGGTTTGAAAATTCAGTTTGATGTTTTAGTTTGATAACAATTTTTGAAAGATTGATACAAATGTTGTTTTTTTGCTCACTTTAAGAATTCACAATTTAAAAATTTAAGCTAGTTCAAGTAGTACCAGTTTTTTTTAAATAAAAAAATTTCACTCCTCTAAAACAGATGTGATAAAGGTGACCTGGTGTTGCTGTGTCTAGATGAAAGACATGACCAGTATGTTGTGTTCACTGTTGGTACAAATCTACACTTCCTACATAGTGAGTCTTTAGAGGGCCTTGGTCTCAGAACAGGTGAGTGGGTTTTTTTTTTTTAAAGTTGGCTGAAAATATTAATCTGTCTTATTGATTAATCATTTATTTATTATTTTAAATTTCTATTTTTTTTTTATTTGAATCATCAGGTACAGATATGGCCTGTAGAAAATCCTGGATTCTTGCTGAAGTTGTGGACAAAGAGTACTGCTTGGCTAAAAAGGTAAAAATGTTAACTTAGGTAATAAGGATGACCTTTTTAGGTAAAAAAATTGTTGCTTTAATTAGCTTAACTGCATTTAAATAATTGTTTTTGCATTTGATTTGATATTGTGCTTTAGAACTCAAATTCTTTAAGTAAAAATCTACCGCTTTACCATAAGTTTGCTAATATATAGACTAGTAGTCAGACAAGTAGTATAAGGACTGTGTGATCTAGCAGTAGTACTGGGGAAGAAGTAAAAGTCTGGTGGAAACCCACAGGTCTTACAGCAATATGGGTGAAAGAAATGCTCAATTCTTTTTTGCATTGCAAGAGTCAGTTGTGCAGACACTAGACTAGTAGTTGTAGTAGATTAAGCTTAAACAATAAGCAAGTCTTATTTGTAATTAAAACTGATCTTTTTTCAGTCTTTTTGCATCTCAAATCAACATGAATATTTGGTATAGTTTTTAAAATGCACATCTTTAAAAAAAAAATTTCTTGCATTTTGTTTGTAACAAAATATTTTCCTGTGATTCAGCCAAACAACAGATTCAGAGTTCCACAAGGGACATGTTTTTATAGGGTGAAGTGTAAGCCTTGGAAAAGTGAAATTGAGTTGTTAAAGCAGGATAAAGATATAACAAGACAGGTGAAAAGTGTCAAGCATGACCCAGCCAGTGGCACACGGCCAAAGAAAGATAAAAAACAGCCTTAATTTTTTTTTCAATAAGTAGATAGAACTGACCTCATTTTGATAATACCTTCCTGTGAATTAAATTCAAACATTCTGTTTGATTAAAAATTATTTTAAAATTGTATTTTTAATAAATTTGCCATTTATAAAACTGATTTCAAATTGACTAAATACTTTTTTTTTCCCCGTATGTTTTCTAAGTAAAACAAAATGTTGACAAGTTCATGTTTTTATTCTAATACATGAGAACTTGAAGCTATTAATGTGCAACTTTTAAACAAGTTTATATGCCTTGGCTTTGAGTAGTGCTTTTAATATAATAATCATGAATAGTTTCAGCTGTGATGCTTTCATATTAGCCTCCACAAGTTGAGAGTATCAATTTAAGGGTCTGCGATAATTGCCTGAAAGCCAATTTCCCACAGGCTCGTTGCTGAAAATGGCAATAATCCATAATATTGATTAATAATCAATTAATTTTTACGCAGATGGATTTTTTTAATCTATTTAAAAAAAAAAAATAACAAACATGTTCACTCACAATAGCATACCATTATTTAAATAAAAAAAGCCCCATTATTACTTTGAAAGTATTTTTCAATAGCTTACAGAAATGAAAAATAAAATAAATTTTAGTTTACAAGATTCAGTTGAATCCAAACTTGAGCTTAGAAGAGTAAATGTGGACAAAGAGCTTTTGAGGCAAATAGCATTCTGGCAAATGTTCAGCACCCCTTTGTAGGTGTGAGTTCATTGTAAATTTCATACTGTTTACATATGTAAATACTCATTCAGTGAACTATTTTTAGAGCAAGGGAATTACACATTAAATGATACTTAATGCTTGAAATGCACACAACTATTATTTTAAGTGTTAATTTTTTTTTGCTCTTCTCACTTTCTTGTTTTTTTAAAAAAAGCATTAAGTCAATGTGTAAGTTGTTTTACACCAGTTAATGTTTTGGTGATAAAATTTTTAAACTGGTAATTATTGCTTTGAATAATTAGTTTGAGATACTGTACGATATTTAAGAGTACATTTTCCCCCAAAGTCATACAATTTAAATTCTGAAAGTATTCAAATATTCTTTAACTGGTGCACTCACAATTTATTTGGAGAGGTGTTTGTACCCAAGTTATTAATTACTTCAGCAGCTTTCTAGGCTGAAAATGAAAACAAGAAAATATTTCTTTGATTATTTTTAATGAATGGGAGTTAATCTTTGATAAATGTCACAATATGCAATGATGTGGAGGTCAGCAAACTTTTATTTAAAATGTGGATGTACATACATGTAACATTAAAATTAGTAATTTCAAATAATGAAGTTGTTTTATCTTCTTCATTTAGTGGTGTGTGGTAAAATGGTTGTCTGTTTTTTAATTTGTTAATATCATAATACAATTTTAATATTAGACAAAGTAATGTTAAGAATAAATGAAGCATTGCAATAAGCTTTGTTCTAAAAATTTATTTTTCTGCAAAAAGTGAACAACTAGTTAAAGGCAAGGGTGATACAATAGTAACCAAATAGGGTTAAAATATTTGTTGCTTTTTATCAGAGCAGACTAGACACAACATGAAAATAAATTAACAAGAACAATATGTATATATTAATAAATTAAAGTTATCAAATTATTGCTGACTACTATTGCTACAAATATCAGTTAACTTTAGTTAAACTGTATATTTATCAGAAACACCTACTGACAGTATGCTTTGCTTTTGTCAAAAATAAGTAGCATCGTAGCAGTAAATATTTTCAAACATCCTTTAAAGAAATAAAATATTAGGATCCTTGAAAAAATAATTACATTAAGCTTATTAATAAATATTAATTTACAATTAGAAAATTTACTAATTTTTACATTTAGTTAGCACGTTTTAAGCATATTTCTACAGAGATTGGATTTTAGCTTTATTTTTGTTAAAAAAAAAAAGAAACCAAAAACTATAAAGCAGTTTCTAGACTTATTGTATAGAACAGCCTTATTTAGTTTCTTATAATCTTAGCTAAAGCTATTCTTTTTCAATATATTTTATTTCTAAATAGGTTAAAAGAATATCTATTTTATTCCCTTGACTAGTTTAGCAAACTATAATTAGTTGGCAAAGCAGTCTGAGACAGCTTGGAACTAGGAGAACATAATTGAAGCTTGCAAACACCTTCTCATGGCTTCTAATGACTGGTCACTCTGTAAAACAAAACATTATTTTACAAACTGCGCATGTAATTTTTCTAAATGAAATAATTTTAAAAATGTTAATAATTATAATCTTGGTTATTAATAAGTATTTTAAATTAATAACATTATAAGTGTGTTTTCTAAAACTACTTCATCATGTTAAAAAAATGATACTATATTTATGCACTTACAATCTTAGACAGAAGCTTTTTCTGAAGGGCATCCACATCTCGTTTCAGTGATATTTTAATTGTTTTCTAAAGTGAAAAGAAATAACTAGATTAAATTCAATAAAATAAAGTAACTGCACAATAACTTCCTAATTAAAGAACCAAAGTTACTTTAACCTTTTAATTAAAGGGTTGTTTTCAGTGTCTCTCCTTCATTAATGATTCAGGGATAAAAATGACGTTGCAAATGGCTAGGCAATGAGAAATATACACACCTGCATGTTTTGACTTTCAGTATGAGTTTGCTGTAGCTCCTTATTTAATATTTCATGAGATGACTTCAGTCTTTTGAATCTTCAAAAATAAATACAACTATATAAATTTGCATATGTAGCTTTTAATAACAGAAATTTCAAATACCAGCCTGATATAGTAGCCCAATGTAATTATTTGGATGTTTCCTTTTTTAGGCACTAGTAAATAAATAATTACACTACATACACACACATTTGTGTTTCTTTCTAAAACGTTGTTTGCAATAAAACTTACTCTTTTTGATGTGATTCTCTAAACTTTTTAAATTTTTCCATCTGTTGGGCCCATATAACCTATTGAAATGAATAGTTATTAATAACTTGTAAAACATTTCTATTGCAAGATACATTTGAAATATCAAGTGTTTGCAGTCTCAGCTGTTAGGTTTGTTGGACTTACACAAGCAGAAATTATCTAATGAGAAAATATATAAGCTACATGTATTATAATATATTTAAAGAAAATCATTTATTTTTTTACTTTTTAGTGCATTATTACATAAAAGCTTATTATTAAAACATTTTTTATGAATTTTTAAAATAAACTGGTTACACATCTTCTAAAAACCAGCATTAAATATTTTAAAAAAGATACACCAACTTACAGTTGTTTTTAGCTCAGTTTCAGTCAACTCCTTCAGGTCTTTACTCATATGAAATATTACTTTCTGGACAGAATCTTGAAATTTTTTAACAGCATTTATTCTGTGTAAAAGATAAAGAGCTCAGAGAACTTTATGTATAGGTTATTAAAAGCCAAATAGCTTAAACATTCATTAACCCATTTAACCCTTAAAGCGCTCAGCTGGTATTCAGGAAGTGCATTAAAAAATGGGATCAAAATGGCAATGTTTACAAATTTTGATACCCCCTTGTAATATTACCATTTTAAAGTGTGATCTATACATTATAGACCTATGAACCCATACATTAATGGAAAGCTTAAATAATAAAGAATATGAAAACACATTAACTATTAACATAAAAACACAATAGTAAAAATTTAAGAAAAATGAAATACAAACCATTTTTTTTACCTTCGCAAATAATTTTAATTCCTTGAATAAAGTACACATAAATTTTCAAAAACAAACACCACAATCTAAAACACAAAGTACCAAAACCAGCACATTTATATCCTTGATAAGAAATCACACACTAGTAGTAAATATAGGGTCCTATGGTATTTGGCAAAGCATTCCGGACACAGTCCAACATTGCAACCAGAACACTCCCACCCACTTCTGACTCTTGCAGAATGACCTGCAACACACTGTCTTTTTTTGCACACTTGTAGTTTCACTAAATCATGGCCATCTAGTGGATAACTGTAAGCAGAAGGCACTGGGGACTCAACACCATTTCTGGTGGTTGATATTTCCTCCCTTGTCCGTTTGCGACGAACAATTTTTTCTGGTGTGAATTTAGAGGACAGGCTCTCCAAAACAGAAATGATAAAATTGCACCTAAAAAGCACAGGCTTGTCTGAAGTGTTCAGCTTGTATAAGATATAGCTGTTTAGCACAGCTCTACCTAACAAAGAGAAGAATACTTTATTTGTCCATTTGAGGGTTTGACGTTAAGCCAGGTACATAGTTTTTTTTAAATGTGCAGGGAACCATGGTGTTTCTTGGCTATGGTGGCAGGAGTCCCAATAAGCATTGGAATTGGGCTTTTGATTTAAGCCCATGTTCAGGACCACAGCAAGAAAGGCCCTAAATTCAGCTAGGGTGAGTGGAGTCAATTTGTGGACTCTTGATCGGGGAATGATGTCATAACTTCTCTTTGTTGCTCTCGATGAACTCGCTAGCGTAGCAGTTGGTCTCAGCTATGATAACATTGGTAAGCTCTGCTGTTAAAAACAGATCCAAGTATTCAACAGGCAGCTGGTTTATGCTTGGGTCCTGGATTTGCTGTAAACAGGATAGGTCTAGGGCCACAATCCTCTCCAACAATAGGCTGCCAATGTCCATCAGCTGTAAGAGATTCCCTGTCCTCTGAATCTGAAAAATAGTTTAAATTTATAATTAGAGCCTATTATTTTATTTTTTAATAATTAGGCCTATATTGTAGGTTTAATTATGGATTTTTTAAAATAAAATATTCTGTTATTTCAAATACACTATTAAGTTCCTTACCCCTTAAGAGAACATTTGACACCACATTTAAATATCTAGCTTACTCAGTTGACGAGAAAAGAGAGAATTTTAAAATTTGTCTAGAATGGAAAATGAATGACAAAACCCACGTTCTCGATCCCTGCCGGCATGGCATGACGTCGTGAACTGGTGTGCACAAGTTTTTTAAGGGGTGTGTCAACTTAGGTTATTTACTCACCGGAAAATAACAAAAAAAAAACCAACTGATTTATAATAAAGCTAGATCTAGTTATTTATTAAATTGGTAAAGGAAAATGTACATTACAAATTCTACTCTACATGTTATTCATACCATTTTTTATGAAATAATGAACACTTGCATAACTCAAATTACCATAAAAAATATTTTTATTTCAAATTCTAATTTTATTAAATATGCTTAAAATAATATGATTGTTATGATAGTCTATAAATACAAGAAATAGGCCTAACTCAATTCACATTATATTGAGTCAACAGTGTGGAAGCTGAAGTTCATACACGGTATTAGTGTCTTTTTTTTTTACATTACATTTTTTTTCATATTGAAAACGTGACGTGTAATTTTTTTTTTAATAAAATCTCCAAACATCGTCACTCGCGTGATTGCTTGCTTATGTTTACTATCCCGCGGGTGAAAAATCCCACCACGGTCGAGGGGTCACTGTGCGGTCAGCAGGCCTGTAGTACACGTCATAGAATGAACACGCGTACTCGAGATCGTCGGTGTCTTCACTTCTCTCTCTCTCTTTCCCCCCCCCCCCCCTTCTTCAAGCAAATTATAATAGAGTAGAGCCGAATGGATACAAAACTAACGTTACTAAGACTAATTTTAAAACTTAGCTTAATTTTTTTTGTCTACTCTCTTAAAAGATAAAGCAAATGTAGTTTAATGTAGTAAGGTAAAGTAATTTAAATATTCAATATCAACTTGAAGTCGATCTATCTTGATAAAATCTGTCAAGAAAAAAAAACGATAAAAGATCTCCACCCTGAACTTAAACCAATTGTAATTTTAACAGACGAAAATGATGCTCGCGCACATTTTTTTTTAACTAGATCTACGTCTAGCTTTAAAAATAATAAACACATAAACGCTTAAAATGCCCGTAAACAGATTATTTAGCGCCAAAAAAAAAAAGGCCGCTGAACAAGCATTGTTTAAAATACGCAGCAATGAAAAAGGCTAACGGCCTATCAAATAACTCTAAAAATCGCCCGAAATTAGGCCTAGCTCTGAAAAAGGCCACTGAACGAGCATCACTGATTATATAAACGAATAGGCCACGCAGCGTTGACGAGGTTAACCACCGGTCACGAATTAAATTCAACGCAGCTAGTGTCGGCCCACAGTGAAGAAAAAAAATCAATATAGGCCATATTTTAATAAAATTACTAATACAATAATAATTTCCACAATTTTACTTTTTCTGCACACGCTGCAGTTGAATTATAATTAAAATACTAGACTTAAAGGTTCATTCCGCAAAAAACAAAAACTAGTTGTTTCTGTGAGGTAACTAGCGTAACAATGACGTCACGATAGTAAACAACGCGGACAGAAATTTCTGCATTGGTACCTCATCCTCATATTCGATTTTTAAAAAATGTATCAACATATCTGTAATTAATCATTATAAATATCTCAATTATATATTTCTGCATTTGTACCAGGGGGTTTCGACCATGTACTGGGCCGTTTAAGGCGGCAGTTCAGTTTTTCCCAAGAGTACTCGACAAAAATAGCGTGTATTAATTAAAACCACGTATCTCGTGAATATTTCGAACATTTTAAGGCATGGCGTCCATTTAGTTAGCATCTCACATTAAAATAATGATGAGATTTTGCGATATTAGCAGTTTTTTCATTTGTCGTGTAACGGACCCCTAAAAAAAACGAAAAAAAACGCAAAAAACGACGAGTGACGTTTCAGGGTCAGAGGTCATCCCGCCATCTCAGCCAGGAGACGATCTACATATTGACTTCATTTACATTTGTTTACCTAAATGATATATTTAATATAGAGATCTAGATATTCATTCATAAATTTTGAAACAGTATCTACCTAAAGAGGTGGGCGTGGCACTTCAAGCACCCACACCCTTACAGTAAAAATAAAATAATGTAATAATTTTCCCGACACTAGATCTACTTTCACTTTATTTTTAAAATTCATCACCAAGCTGAAGAGAAAGTATTTGTATTTATTAAATTCGAACACTTACCATACAAATCATCTAAAACGCTGCTATCAAAGTCATCATCAGTCTCAATTATGTTCTTGAGTCACCTTCACTGTCTCTTGAGTCGCTGTCCAATTTTATTTGTAAAAAATTTAGCTTTCACAGTACAAACACTAAACCACGATGTTTGAAATCGGAAATGGCGGAAGTATTCGTGTATTTACGGTTACTGGTCTAATTGCCGAGTATTTACGAAAAATACGGCCGCAAACACACGAAACCACGATCGTGGCCTTACGCGTTATACGTTCTGTTATAGCAAAGCCACGATCGTGGCCATGCGCGCTTTAAGGGTTAAATATATAAAAGATAATTAAAAAGTTACCGTTTGATTTCATTTTCTTCCCATGATGTATTGATCACATGATGAGTAGATTTCATAATATCTTTCAAACCCCCATCAAAAGATGAACCAGTACCCTATTAGATTTAAAAAAATTAATAGATATTAACTCTACAGATACTTTAAATAACTAATTTAAAAATAAACAGTAACACGGCCTAGGCATCAATAAAAAACTTGTAACTCAAGTCTACAAGCATGATTAAAATAAATCGATTTTTGCAAAAAACAGCTAACAAATTTTACTATTCAATACTCACAACTGATTTTTGTTTCATAATATATTGGCGTAAGTTTCCTAGTTCAGTATTTTCTTCCAATAACTGTCCTGACAGTTCAGAAGAACTCTCTGAAACTTGGTCAATGTTTGTTTTTAATACATCTTTAGCAATGTTGTTAAAAGCAGTCAAACAAGCTGAAGTATCATTATCATCTACATCAGATACAAATGGAGAATCCAGCACAGACTTGGTAATCAGAGATGATCCATTAGAAGAAAGAGTGATGGGTTTTAATGGTGACAAGTCCAATCCCAGAGATGAGTTTATAAATTTCTTGGATACCACTGAAAGACTTTGCACTGGTGATGCTGTGTCACTGTTAAGTTCAAATTCAAAACTCTTTGGAGCTCCTGATAAGCCCAGATTACTTTTATTTTTCTGTAAACTATTTTTTCCAGTATGTTTGTAACAAGCTGCAGGGGGTGATAAATCTAATTTGCGCTGTGACTTTCGCTTCTTCTTTGGTGGCTCTCCTTCACTATCCTTGAACTTACTTTTCTTTCCCACATTTTTGCAAGGATTGGATAATTTTTTCAAGTATTGCAAACTGTCGTCTTTGATATTAGGTGTTTTAGGGGTAAATGGTGTCACTTTTCTGTTTTGCTTGTTATCTATGACAAAATTAAACAAAAGATGGGAAAACAGTTAATGATATATACTGTCAGTACAACCTACTAAATTGGAATAGAAAAAATTTCCACTCTCTCACATTAAAAAAACAACTTATTTTTATTTCACAGTGATCTATTACTCCTTACCTTGTCTTACCAAAGAACTTGAAAGGATGCTATCTTTTTTAAGTATTTTGTTAGGTGCAGTCATGTTAACACTGGTGTCTTGAGAAGTAACTTCCTCACTTGAAGTAGATGATATATTCTTAAATGTAAAGAAATAAAATTCACTTGTGATGCACTGTTCATAAAATACTTTTCAGTATAAGAACAAATTTTAAATTACACCCCATTCCTACTTTCTTTTCTACTAATAATTTCTACACCCTAATACTACTAATATATTTTAATATTATTTTTATTGAAAGCTGAGGTATTTTTAAACTGAATAGTTTTTCAAATTCTATTTTGTTGAGATACTTATAAAATTACTTAAGAATAGAAACAATTTTATTAATACACCCAATATTTTCAAATATTTCCTGGGTAATAATACATTAGATTTGCTATCTTTTACCATAATTGCAGTTTCAAAAGGTTGTGTCTATATTTTAAAGCTTGTTAGTATAAATGTATACAGAAAAAATATAATTTAAGCTTAAAAGTAAAATGATACCGAATATTTTCTTTTAAGTTCAGACTGGGTTGGTCTTTTGGCTGTGGCTGGACCTGAAAGAGATAATCTGGTTATCATAATGTAAAATTCTAAATGTATAGGCCTAATAAAATTAAATTTATTAAAATTGTAATCTTTGTTTATTTTAAATATCAATTGTAAAATTAAGTTACTATCAATGCTGTTTAATTTAATTGTACATCAAACAAAAGTTACCAGAGCATATTCCAGGGACAACATTAGGAGAATATTCATAGTGATCTATACTTCCTGCAATACTTTTCATAGCTTCCTAAAATTGTTAAAATAAATTGTCTTTTACTTATAATGTTAAGGCAAGATAACAGTTGCTAATTTACAGAGACTATTTTTGTTTAGAAATACAATAATTTCACTTGTAATAAATTATTTTAAAATCCATTCATTCTAAACACAAATAGATTTCATTTGGCCTACTAAGTAGCAAGATGAAAACTTATTTTGTCTGTTATTACTGGATCAATACTATTTGCAAATGTGACAAAATAAATTAATACCTAACAGAAATGAGGTTTATTTCAGGCTTTCCACAAATTGTTATCAAGACAGTTTTTTTAGTTTTACAGATAAATAAAAAGGACATAAAACATGCTTAAATCCAAATAGTAACTTTCTTTGGTAGAGAAAAAAATGCAATTTCATTGAGGGCACAAAAAAAAAATTAATACAATTTACTTCAAGCTGATGGTCCATTTTGGATGAAAATTCACTCCATGATTTCATCATTTTTTTGTTCACACTATTCTTTGTCTTAACATCAGTGTCAGAGCCATCAGTTCTGTCACTATAATTTCCACATGAAGGTGAATTTATAATGCTTGATTTGTTGCTCAAAGAGATCTAATAAATTAAGAACATACTTTGTAAACATTATTTATAAATTATCTATTTAATATTATATATTCGCTTACAGGAAGATAAATGACATACTAATTTGAAAATTAAACATACGTTAACACTTATGTATTTAGTAGCTCGTTTTTTTTTCAAAGGATACTTTTTTAGATACATTTTTGATGAATTTAAAAAAAAAATGTTCTCAAAAGTTTAAAACACAGCTTAATAAAGCATTACCTGTGCTTCATTGCTCTCTAAGGAATTTCTTTTTGGTTCTGTTCCTTTAACAACTAAGTAAAAAATAAAATGAAGAATATGCAATTTTTACTAGCTACAAACATTTAAAAAGTAAACAAAAGAGATCAGTTTTAATATAGTATTTTAAAATTAAAATTCTTCAAGCAGTGATAGTAAATACAGACATACTTCACTGAGCATTTAATTTAAAGGCACTTCTTACTTTCCATGAAATGCAGCATACAACTTCTACTTTCAATAAGAAGTTTTAGTGTTGCACATTGTATTTAATATTTTAGCATATTAAAGTTAACATCTTTAAAGTAGCCTTTTAGGCAGTAAATATCTTTAAAAAGTTATTATTTTTGCTAACCTTGTTTGGTTGTAGAATATGAACTACTAAGACTATTTTTATCTGTTTTGATCATATTAGTTTTGATGGATTGGTCCATAGTAGAAACAAGTGATTTGGAACAAGGTTTCTTTATTTCACCAGATTTCTGTTTCTGCTGAATTGGAGTATATAAACATAAGGCATCTGCATCCTTGTCTGTTCTTTTAACAATGTTTTTCTGCAAAATAAAATGATTTTTAAAAAAATTAATAAGAACAGCTAATATTTTGTGTTGTTTACATTTGTGCTTATTGGCGCTACAAATAGTCCAGTATTCAGGAGTGAGGTATAATTGTTATTTCATACTAGAGATTTGTCAAGAAAATCAAATACAACTGAGCACATGTTAGAAAATTGAAATTACTGCCAGTCAACTATCAAATGATGTTTAAATATCTTAAAAGTTTGAGCAACAATTTCCTAAATGGAAACACAAAGCTTAGGATAGTAACAACCTGCTTACAAATTTACTAATGGCAAAAGTAATTATTTTCTACTTCTTATCGGAAAGTAGTTAACAAATATTTTATCAATGTTTCTTATAATGTCTGGCAGTATTGTCATAAACATGTCAAGTTTATAAGTTAGAACCTACCACATGTACATTTAGGCAATAAAGATTTGATTCAGTTTGCAAAACATGTTTAAGAGTAGTTAAGAAATAGTTTTTCTAACAGAAACAAAACAATATTTCAAACTAAACCCATTCAATGGGGATAAGAATTATGACCAGGTTTTATTTAGACATACACTATAGTAAAAAACAATACCATGCTGTAGACAACAATTTTTCAGTTCATTTGTTATTTCTAAAATCTAAACATGAACTTCTTCTTCTTCTTCTTCGTTCTTAATTATTGGTGTTGAAGGGGATCTTCGAATTTATCAACCATGAACTTTTTGCCGACTCGACCACGCCTCCAACACAATTAAGCGTTACGTGTCAACTGATTATGCGCCATTAAGGCCATTGACTCCGATTTCAGCCTGCTTTTCTTTTTGGATTTGCTTCCATAGCCTTTGTCCAACCAAGAACAAACTACAAGGCAGCAGTTGTTTGATTTTGTAGTTGTCTCTCCTAGAAGAGTGGCTGTCCCCAGCTAACGAGCCTCATCTGCCCGAGGGTTCGAACTCGAGACTTTTCGGTTTAGCAACCAAGAGCTTTACCGACTCGACCACGCCGTAAAAAAGTACACTATACAAACAATACAAAATGCTATTTCATATTACTATTATATCCCTAATTTGATTATTGTAAGATTTATGTACAAATGTTCAGAAGTATCATTACTTACATGCTCTATTTTGCAGGTTTTGTTTTTGTCATAAGTTTTCTTGTCCTCTTCTAAAGTCTTAATAGATGCTGTTCTAGCTTTAGACAGCCAGCTGATTTCACTCCTGAGAGTTGTAATGAATATCTTTACGTATAACTTTTTTATTGAATTGATTTTTTAATGTTAATCTCTAGTAAATAATACAATTAAAAGATAGTTTATTTTTATAGCATATAAGCAAGAAAACGACACAAAAATGTACAAATATACAGGCTACTGAAGAAATAATTAAAAAAAAAAAACAACCACTCAGCTAATTTCCATCTATTATAACATTTAAAAAACATGTAGGCCTATTCAAACATCATTCAGTGATGTCAGATAAAATGTAACCAAAAGAATAAAACTAATTATTAAGTGCTTTTATAAATGTAATTAGGCAATGGTATTTATAGAGGGAATCGTTAAAAAAGAGCAAAGAAAAATTATTTGTAAAAATGATACAATATCGCAATTTGTTTTACCTACCACTGTATTATAATTAACAAACATACAAAAGCTGTAATGCTTTATAAAAATCTACTATTAGCAGTCATACTAACCCAACAGATTTCCTATCTGAAGTGGCCTCCATTTGCTCTACATCTTCATTTGTGTTAAAATCATATGGTGTACATGGTATTGAGTCATCTAAATGTGGGAATACCAAGCCTGAACTTTCTTTGCATGCGTCTCTCTGTAATTTATAGTAATAATTAGACAAATGCTAAAAAAAAATAATTCTGCAAGCTATTTTTGGAACTCAACAAATGACAAAAACTATAAGTTAAAATAAACATAACCATTAGGACAAAAAAGTGAAGAAATAATTGTTTTTAGCAAATATCATTGTTGATTTACAGATTTTCATTTTTAATAGCTTAGCTTACCTGACTAGCAAATAGCTGAAATTTTGATGAACTGTTGCTGATACTATTATCTGAATCATTGATGTTATTGAGAGGCTTTGTGTTACTCCAATCAGAAATTAACTGTTCTTTTGATTTGCCAATGACCATGCTATTTTTGCTGCTCTGCTTCAAATTAAAGATGTTTTCCTTCTTATGGTAACTTTCCTTTTTGTCAAAATTCTTTTTACTCTTCTCTTTTCCAATACATTCTGTGTACTGTGATTTAACTACACTTTTAAAAGCTGGTTCTTTTTTTTTCTGTTTTATACATGATATTGAAATTGACTGAGCTTCTAAGTTATGCTTCCCATAAGAACCCCTCAACGGTACAGTAGGTGTTGTTGTCCTAGAAAGAGTTTTACATTCCAAATCAAAATCATATGGATCTAAAGTACTACTGTTATGCACTAGCTTTGCATACGCTGTAGTTGTTACAGTTTTCTCAACATGCTGTGTTGTCCAAATCTTTTGTCTTGTTTCTTTACTTTTTAATAGCTTCTTAGGTGCTAGGTAGCCCAACTGTTTAAAACAATTTGTATCTTTTTCATAGTCAATTGACTTTTCATTTAATGGTGTGGATTTCAGAGAACTGGAACATGCTGAATCTGGTGTGTTATGGTTTGTTAATTTAGTTGGTATGTCAGTTTTTTCTTGTAGCTTGGTGCTGAGGCTACTATCTAATGATGCACATTCTTTGTAGGAGACAACTTTGTTTCGAGGACGAAGGTTTCTTGAAGGCTTACTAATTTCGTTTGTACTTTGTGAGTCAGTTTCTCTGTGATTTTTTTCTAAATCTGAGTTGTTTTCAATACCAGTGAACCTTTTTCTTGGTTGGCTCTGAGAGTTGCTCTTCTTTTCTTGTGACTGGACAGAGATGATCTCACCTTCAATATTTAATTTACTCTTCCCCTTATCCATTAAAAAGGTAGAACTTTTTTTTCTTTTCTTAACATCAACTGATGAACCGTCGCCTCCCATTTTATCAGCATTGTTTAGACAATTGGCTGCTTTCTTTGTTTTGGTGTTGCAGAAAACAAAAGAACTTTCAACATTTGAAGACAAAGGTAGTTCTACTATTGGTTTGTGAAAGTCACCTGAAGCATTCAAAGGTGAATTAGTAGCAAAAGCTTTTTGAATGGGATTTCTTTTACTTTTCAGGACATTTTCAATTTTTTTGTTAGCATTTGCATTATGGGAATATTGTTCTTTAGTAGCTAAGTTGTCATGAGGTTTTGGGCTCATTAATTTTGGCTGTGAATGTTTATCTTTATTACTCATATTTAATAATGATACATCTTTTATATTACTGAACAAATTATCACACTGAGTCTCAGCAATAATATCAATATCACTGCCAACTTTTTTAGCTGCGGTTTCAATGTAAAGGTCTCCAGAAACTGATGAGCTAGTAGATATTGATTTTGGTTTTTGTGTTTTATTGATGTCTGGGAAATGAGATTCAGAGTTACTTGATGAAGTATCAACTGAAATTCTGCTTTCCTCGGAATGTGGTTTCAGAATGGCTTCATTTACATCTAGTTTTTTTATCTGGACTTTTTCTTGGAATCTAGGTATTATATCTTTTAGCAGCGCATTCTCATAAACATTAGACTTATTTTTTTGTGATCTACTTTTGACAGTATTTGATTTTGTTCTTCTTGGGTCTTTAATTTTTTTCTGGTTGTCCATAGCAATAAAACTTTTAGATAATTTAAAGTCTTCCAGTGACACATTTCCAGGACTTTTAGTTTTTTTTTGTATGTTGATCAAATCACCAACAGTTAAATGTGATTCTATTGTATTTTCCTTTAGTTTCTTTTCAGCTTTCCTCTGCTTCATTTTCCCTAATGTTAAATAAATGTAATGACTATATAAAAATAATATTAACACAATTACCTACAATATGTTAATTGTTTAAGGTGTAAGACAAATTATAATTTTCAATATATCATACACAAGCAAATGATGTTTTATTGTTTATCATTATATTTAATAATAAATGTACTAAAACTTGTGCATATTAAGTCAATAATAAATATAAATATACAGATTAACACAACAGAAAATGGTAACTAATATCAAATATACAATAAATATTAATTAAACAAAGAGAATTTGAAGGTCCTTAAAAGTTTCATTTAAAGAATTAAGTTAGAAAGCTTAGTTTTCTGTATTTATTTGTTGAGGACCTGTATTCTTCAGAAACTCACTTGTTTCAACAAATAACTAACGTTTTTCAGTACAAACTGTGACTAAATAAGTTTAATAAGAACTCAAATTACCATCACCAAAGTAACAGGCAGAGTATTATAGAACTTTCAAAAGTGGAAACATAGCTTGGTAAAATAGTATTTTTAGCAGCATAGAACTTTCAAAAAATAAGTTTAACCAAATGGAAACAGCTTTGTAAAATAGTATTTTTAGCACATTGTACTTTAAAGCTGTGAACTTCTTAGGAAAGACTACAAACATGATAAAAAAACACCAAGATTAATAAACATAAACAAATTACCTTTGATTTGTTTTTGAACCTGAATATTATAGAAAATTGACCAAATTCACTATACTTAATAAAAAGTCATTGTGGATTAATTTCCTTGAAATTAAATCTTTAAAAATGCTCTACCTTTGTGTGCTTTGAATCTGAATCTTGATTCTGTTTTAAACTTGCAGGAATAGTATCTGGAACTTTATCTACAATTATAATAGAGCATAATTTCATTAATTTGAATACATTAAAAAGTAATAAAAATATAATTTAAAATGAAGGTAATATTTTCACATGAAACAATATTTTTAATTTGTGGTTTTAACTATTGAGTCAACATCCCCACAAAATAACAATCTCTCCTTTACAATATTTATCATTCATTTGTTATCACAACTATAGCTCTTAAGAGCAACATATAAAGATGACAATTATTTACTCTAATTCTAACAAAAAAATAAACGAAATGAATAACAATTGAAAACGACAACTCTGAAAAGGCATTAAATACCTGAAATCTTTTGGAGGTCTTGAATAAAAACAATAGGAGTTTTTATTTTCTTTCCTGATCTTAACGTTTTTGTGGGTGTGGTAGGAACCTGTTCACCGACTTAAGTTACAATTAAAAATTATTTTAAAGAATATAATCACACTAATTTAAACAACATGAAATTATTAAAAATCATTTTAAAATGGGGCGAAATATAACAAAACATTTAGAGAACAGAAAAAGATTTTAAAGTTTTTCAAAAACCTATAAAAGAAAAATAATAAATTTACCTGTTTTTCCAGAACCTCTTTTGGAACGCACTCTTGGGTTAGAAGAATTCACAACTTTTCTTTTCTCAAGATCTTCAGATTTCTCATGCTTTTTTTCTGGCATATTGTTTCCCTTTTTATTTATTTTTCCATTTGATTTCTTTTTACTATTCAATTTGGTTTCATCACTTGGCTGCAAAATTTTATCTTTTAGAAAATTCTGTGAAGATAAGTTATTGTCACCTCCCTCCTTAAGTGGAGAGATAGTAAGTGCAACATCTACACATGCATCACTTGCTCTTGCATCTAAATTGTGTTCTCTCATATCAGTGCATTTTTCACTAGCTCTAACTTTTGCCTGAGTCTTAACTGTATTGGAATTAAGATCAGAACCTTTCTCTATGTTTAATCTTCTGTTGCTGTCAACTGTTTTGCTGGGTAAATCAAATGATTGATTTCCTGCATCATCAACTTTTTGTTTAACAACATTAGCCAATGCTTCATCATGCTTCAATGTCTCTTCAGTTTTCCGGAGCTTATGACTGGTAGGATTCTTGAAATTAGCTGCACTAATATTTTGCTGCATTTGGTTCCATGAAAAAGCTTCATCTACTTCAGAAGTAATCACTGAACTGGCAGGTGTTGTCATCGGTTCTGAAGGGACAGATGTTTTAGATTTTGAATTGAGAGTAACTTTTTTAACTTCTTTATGACAAGAATTAGCATTTGATTCTTTTGTTTCAACTGTCCTACTGGGGTTTAAACTGCCTTTCTGAAAAAAAAAAATGAATCTCAGAACTAATTTTAACATTTTTTTCTTTTATATAACAACAATTATTTCACATATCATTTCTAAAAATGGTGATTAGATACTAAAATATGTATTTTTTAATATCTCATAAAAAGTGACCCTTTCAAACTTTTCGGTACAGGAGGCAGATGAAGAAGAGTTCACATGTTTCTGTGACTATGAACAGATAGTTTGGTCAGCACTAAGCCCAGCGGCCTTTACTTTTCCTAAAATGAGTCAGATAACCATCTGAGCTGAGAGGACTCTGATATAAGATATCTCATAACTATTCTGATAAATTAAGTTTTAAACACAAAATAAAAATGTAATTTTTTTTTTATTTTTAAAATTATGTTACAAGAAAATTACCAATACAACGCAAATGGGATTAGCAACAGATGATGTTTTCTTGTTCTGAAAAGAATAGAATAAAGAAAGAAAAGCTATATCAACAATGACTTATATTGTTAAAGTTATGACAAGAACACATTAAACAATGACTTTAACATGCTTAAAGTACGGAAAGAACACAAAACTAATGGCAGCATCTTCCAAATTTGGAATATGAAGAAATGAACTATTTCATTCAAATTTGATTTAGATCTATAGATATACCTATCAAGACGTATGCTATGAAATATATACAATTTTCTCGGCTAAAGGTAAAACAAATTTCTTTAAAAAAAAAAAAACCCAACATAAATACCATTGAACAGCCAGGTTTTTAACGGAATGATTTGTCTCTTATTTAGTGTGTTCATTTAATACGGTATTGTGTTGACTAATAATGTATATATATATGTTGGATTTTTAGCTATTTAGTTACTTCTTTGCTTTGACACTAATATTGTTCAGTGTGTAGTTAAGCACATTGCGTTTTGACCAATAACTATTTTATAAAATATTTTTCTCAAACAAGTATAACATTAAAATATATATGCCTATATTTCACGTGTAACTAGTACTGCTGGCTAGTCATAAACTAATGAGCCAGTGTACATCATTTTGTTATTTTACTAGTGTAATATTTATAATACTTAACATACTTACAGGTTTCAACGTTTCCTCCAGAGCTTTTTCTAAATTAAAATTCTGAGAAACAGCTATAACAACTAGATGACACTGACCATCACTTTTATTTCCAAGTAGTTGAGCACCAGGCAGAATTTCAATGTCTGTTCTAACCAATTTATTTTGCACTAAAAAACAGAGAACATGTGATTATCATTCAACAAAAAATAATGAACTCTATGTATTTCATTATTACCAAATTCATTATAATTAAAATACAATTCCATACATATAAGTCAAGTTCCCTGGATAAAAAGTAATTATAATTATAAATAGAAATTTCAAAACTAATCATAAAATATTGAATAATTCTAGCATTTGAATTGTAATACAGTTGATAATGTGATTTGAACAAACATAAATTATTAGAGTATGAAAAAGAAATGCAATGAGAATTTTATAACCAGAATTACCTGTGCAAGTATATCGTTTAACATCTTGAGCCCTAACTGAAATGGTTTCCCAGAGTTCTTCCTCTTGGCTTTGCTTTAAAAATGTTAAAAAAAAATTAATTTGCATTTTTTTAAAACTTGATAAATGAGAACACTGAATACAATAAAAATATCCAATTTATTTGCTTTTTATTAAAAATGGCTTTAAAAAAAGTATATATCAAATTTACTTACCTGACTTGACAAAAAGTTGGGTTCACAAAATATTCCTATTCTCTTACTACCAGTATTAAAATCAACCCAAAATTCATTATATCCTTCATCAGATGGTTTGTATATCTGAAAGCATTTTAAAATGTAAAGTTAAAGTTAATATAACTTAAGTATACAAATTTTAACAAAGAGGATGGGGGAAGCTGTGGTCTTTGAAAAATGATTTTCTTCATATTGCTCAGCCCAAAACTTAGATTATGTTTGGATAAAAAATCAAAATGACTTAAATGTGTGTTAAGCACACATCATTAAAAGTAACATCCAAAGATTATATATAGCCACAATTAAACTTATTGTCTGTGTTGGGATGTTTTGGAAGCAAAATGGGTGTGTGAAGTGAGGCCTTTATAATAGAATATTTTTTATATACATCGCCCTTGTTCATAATTTTTTATGCAATGAGACATGCAGAGGGATGAAAACTATTAAATATGTTCCATACTCTTAAATGAAACAATGAACTAACCTTTTCTCCATCAATTTTCACAAACTCTGCCGGAAAAGAGTAAACTCTGGTTAGACAAAAAATTATTAAGTATTAGACAATTAGCATTAGCAGAAAAATAATAATATGGAAATGAAAGATATTCCTTGCAAAAATGATGGCAAATTTGGCAAAAAGTGGTCACGAGATCTTACATAGAAAACTTGAATTAATAGCTATTCGACATTTGAGCTGTTTTTTTTACAATGGTTTTCCCCAATTTACTTTGTTCTGCTTGGTTGGAATAGAATTCTGTTTGTGTTGTTGATAAGGGGATTATGGTATTTTTTTTTTGTCAATTATATCTTTACATTGCTTTATGTTTTTTTTTTTAAATTCTTAAAATAATTTTCATGCAGAATACTTTTTGTCCTTTTCAATCATTTCTATTATTTAAATATAAATTTTAATAATTTATTTTAGCTCCAACAAACGGTTGTATCCAGAGGCATAGCGACCCTTCCCGGCACCCGGGGACAAACTTTCGATTTGCACCCCCTCCCTCAAACTTTCTATTACTATTTCCAACACATTTTGTCCCCCCCCCCCCCCCCCCCCATCGCTACGCTTCTGGTTGTATCACGATCAAGAATTTACTTTAATGTTTAATTAATCATGTTTTTCAGAATAACATGTAAAATTTAAAAAACAAAAAACATATTTTAAGTTGCAAAATCTACAATGTCTGTAGGTTTAAATAAGTAAACATTAAAATGCTTTGATAATACATTAAAAGGTGCTTTCCACCAAATAAATTGGTCCCTCAATTTTTATAAGAATCAATCAAATAGTTTAAAGCATAATACAAATAAAGTAAAAAAATTAAAGATACTCCTTTGATTCTGACTATAGGACAGGCAAAATAAATTTCCCCTGTTTTCGAGACCAAAACTTGGGGGACACTCAGATTAGAAGTATGTGCTCTACTTACAAGCCACATTATCTCATAATAATACAGATAACAAACACAATTTGTCTAACCTCAAATTGTAAAATAACTTTGCTCTAGATGACAACTCAGGGGAGAACAGATTTAACATAAAACCTTTTTACATTCCATAAGCAATAAAAATCACAGTAAAGAAACAACAAAAAACTATTGAATATGCTGCAAATTGTTAAGCACTATGGGACTACTACTTAAATAAGCTTTTGATAAAAAATATTATTTAGATTTTTTGTCTTGTTTTCGTTAATCACAATTAGTACAAATGTGCAATACTAATTCAGATGGTGCTACTTTGGTTAACTACAAATAATGATTATGTTTGTGAGAAGTAATTAATATGGTATGCCAAAAAATTATACAAAAAAGAATGTGTAAATAAAATACTAAATATTAAAATTCTCAAAATGGAATGTAAAACCAATAAAACATAGATATACCTGGTCGACACATGAAAGTTTTGTTCATTGATTTTGTTTAGGAAATATCTACAATCCTAAATAAATATTGGCATAGTTAAACAGCATTGTATATATGAGAATATATATAAATTTTGGATATTATAAAAATGTGATAGATAGATGATAAGTAAATTAAATTTAGATCAGAATGAAAGTTAAGTTTCATTTATTATTGTAAAAAAAATAATTTAAATAGTTTAGTTTTGTAAAAAATACCAAGCTACAATTTTTAATCAGTTAAAATTCTAAAAAAATATCTTTTTTAGCAATAAATTAACAAAAATTGAACAGCTAAAATAAAGAAATGAACTACTTACAGTTTCAAATTTATTATCTCGAATATTCAGAAATTCTGTATAAACTGTATAGTTATTAATCATGTTCCTAGTATAATCAGCTCTCATACTTTTTGGTATAAGTCGAAAGAGAAACTCAATGATGCAAACTTGAAGTTCATAATCTATGCAATAAGACAAAATTATACTGTGGAAATTTTTTATATTTTTTATTTTATTATGAAAAAAAAATTGAGATTGAATCAATCAACAGGAGTAAACTAGTGAAATATTGTATGGTGTATTGATCAATCATAAAATGTATTAATCTACCTTGGCAGTTTCTATACAAATTTCTTCCCATAATACTTACCCCCTATGTCGTAAATGCAACTACACATTAATGATCTGGAATAATAATTTAGACAAATAAACAAAAACATTATCAGTAGAATATAAAAAAAAATCTTAAAAGATTTAATAGGACATTACATTTTGGCAAAAATAAATATTTCATATTAGACTACTTCAAAAACAAACTCACAGCTTGTTAATGATTTCTGCTTTAGGCAACAATTCTTGCTTAGTTGCAACTGGACAATTCTCTAACACAGCATTGATACTTTTTAAAATCTGTAATAAAAATAAACATATTTAATGTCTTTAATTATATTATAGAAAAAAAAAGGTATAGCAACATGAAAACTAGTTAGCATGCATTAATAAGTGGTCATAACAAAACAAAACTTTATTAATGTTTGTTAAAATTAATTAACACATCTAAAATAAACATAATTACCTCAATTTTATGCATTAACCAAAATGATTGATTAATTATTAGATCAATGCATTTTTCGGTGACAGTTGACACAATACATTTCTTAGCTAAAAAGAAAAAGCATGTTTCATGAGTTTTAATATATTAAGTTTATTTTCTATAAGATATTTATCTGGAAACTTAAAATAGGTAATTGATAAATTATAATTATGCCTATAGTTTATTTTATACACTTTGTTCTCTTTATCAATACTTAAACAATTTCTCAAGTTTAAAATTTTGAAAATCTGAAAAAGTTAACAATTACCTTCTTTTCCTGCATCATTGGCTATCTATTAATAATAAGAAATACGTTCAACTTTAGCATTTTAAATATAGTTACTGAATTAAATTAAATAGATATCTTAAAGTTTCTTAAATGTTACTTAACAATCAAAATAAAATTTGAAAAATACCACTGCATGCTAACAGGCATGCATTATACAGTGGGATGTGTTATCATTTTGTTATATGGTCATAATTTGGTGTAGGTGGTGATATGTATCTTACATCATATTGCTATTGATTTTCTTTATTCTAATAAAGCTATTCTCTATTTAGAGTGGTTGGATAAAAAAACTATCACAAATGACTTAAAAATAAAGCTTTTATTTGTTAATAGTGAAGATTTATATTAGCATTTAGTTTTCACCCTCTTGGTACAGCCATTTTCCCTGTAATTTTTGATAAAGAGACCTGTGCCAAATTTAGTTCGCCTATCAAGATCTAGATGGTAAAATTAGTATCGAGAGAAAGCAAAGACATTGCAGATATTTAAATATATTAAAATTGTAACTACCCTATTTTGTAATTTGTGTGTGTGATCCCAAGGCCCATTTTCTTATAACTAAAAATTAAAAAAATTTACCATAAAAATATCAGTCAATTTACAAATTATTTGTTCTACTCCATCATGCAAATTTAACTTAGGCAGAATACTCAGCACATCTGAAACTTATAAAAAAAAACAACAACATAAAAATCAATTAAACACTACACTTATTTATTATCAAATAAATAATATAAACATTTCTGGAAAAGGTTGTGACTGAAAGTTTAGAATATGGTTAGCTGGGCCAGCAGAAAGGCTAAAACTCTTTTATAGTATATGCTGAGTGTTAATTCTAAACGATCAGTTGCTTAATAGAAACTCCTATGGGTTTTTTGTTTAGCATAAAACAGAAAAGCAGTGATCAAGTTTTGAATCATTATAGGAAAGAATAAATAAAAGATCCAAATAGCACATATTGTTTCTCTGTTTTTGACTTATCAATTCTGTTATTATATTAATGTATAATGGTAAAAAAATAAATCTAAAAATAGTACTTATCATATTTAATGTATCATCTGTGAGTAATTTTAGAATAGATTGATCATTCTCTGCATTTTGAAGGGACGTCAAATGTGTCTCAAGTGAACTGGAAATCGCTGCTGCATCTTCTTTGTCAGTGCCTGCTCTTGGGCCCTAGATAAAAAATGCACAGAATAGTTATGCTGAGAATACAGAAAAATAAATATCAATTAAAAAGTACAAAATAAAAAAAGATAGTAAAAAAGGTTTTTTTTTAAACACATATTTTAGTTAAATACATTTTATGTGATGAAAGAAAATAAAAATAGATAAAAATGTATCTTGAGCTTACCTTTATTATTGGTAGAGCCTGAGATGGAGCCATTTTTCTCAGGCCATGCATCAGCAGATAGTCTTATGTCTTTACTCGAATTTTATGATGCAGTCTAGATTTAAATGGATGTAAAATTTATAATAATTATTTATGATAGCATGCAAAATTAATTTCCCTCTAATGAAGTCAGTGGAATTAATGCTTTTCTTTATGTTAACAATTGGGATAAAGTATCAATATCTATAATACTGCTTATACACAAAAAATATACTGGGATTAATTTAAAATAAATTTCTGTCTAGTTATCTAGATCAAGCTTCTATAGCGATACTTAAAATTCTGCCTTGTTTAATATTAGGTAGATCTAGTCAGTGTAAGTGTTTATCTGCCGTAGCTTAGTTGCCACAATCTCAGAAGGAAATTTAAAAAACAGGGTATTACTTTGCAAAAATGACGTAGCTCTTTGGGAAGATTCCTCAATGATTATTAATGGCTATTTTTTAGCAATCGTGATCTCACTTTCTGATCTTCTGAATGGATGAAGTGAAAACAGATACATGTTTCATCATTCGGCAAACTGACAAAACTCTTCAGGTTTTCCTTATCTTGTTATCGATAGTTATATTTAGACGTGTTACTTGAGAAATCAAATTATTTGAATGTAAACAATGTCAGGACTACATTTCTTAGATCTTAATAGTTTAAGCGTTGATTTGTCCACATTACACCACTCCCCCCATGGTCAGCTGTATGAAAACTGTGAGTGTATGTTGTTAATCAACCAAAACAGATGAAATTGTAGATCTATTAGAATTACAATTAGATTCTTATATTCTAGATCTAGAATAGATCTATTTGATCTGATCTAGGTCTACTTCTATCTATCTATTCTATATAGATCTATAATATATATATAGGCCTACTATATAGTGAATGTATTGAATCATGTAGACTGTAGACTGTAGAGTAGAGTGTAGACTTATCTATCTATTTAATTGATTCTAGATTCTATTAGTCTGTCTTATTATTAGTATACTATTAAAAAAATTCATGAGAGATCTAGAGCTAGAATCTAGATAAGTTAAGCTAGGTATTTTAGCTTATTTAGTCTTTCTATTATCTTTATTCTGTATTGTTAATGTTAGTCTTTCTTTCTTTACAATACTTTACACATGTTTAGAGTTCAGTAAAAATACAACTTCAGTTTTAGTTTGCAGACAAAAATCATAGCTTCTCATTCTTATGAATTTCTAGTCTTCTAGACTACTAAAACGGGTACTAAGGCCACTCTAGGACGACTAGATCTATGTCACTGAGTCACTTAACAACTAGAATAAGCCTAAGCCCTGCCCTGGGCCTAACTAAGCTTACTGAGTCAATACTAGATTTTCTAGATTCTATACTCAAATGAAAATAAAATGATGCTGCGTAGGCTTTAGATTAGATCTACATATTACAACAATACATTAGCAAGTAAAACTAGTGTAGGCCAATGTTTAGTTTGTAATTATAAGAAATATGTTCAATCGTTTACCACAAGAAAATGACGGCGTTTTACCTAATTTATAGATCTAGATTAGATCTAGATTTATAGATACAGTTAATTCTATTGTGAATCCAGGAATTTACAGTTTTTTTCCTTCTGTCGTTCTCGCAGACGACCAAAACGATGACCCTCACCCTCAACTTTGACCTACTACGTCATAAGGCGCGTACAACGCCGTGTGTTGTTGTTAGTTTTCTCATGAATGCGTATTTTGTATATCAGTTATCTACATAACAAATTAAATATTACAGATAAAATCAGTAGGTTTCAGTATTTTATTACATTAAATAATAAATTGAAACAAAAATATTCCTCCCTGGAGTTGACTGCAATGTCAATGCAGCTTGTTTAGCGTATTAAAATATTATAATAAGAAAAACATCATAAACTTAGGACATATTTTTCGTACTGTTTATATTTTGTTTTTAGAGAAAATATGAATGGGCCACTGTTATCATTTTAATGATAAATCTATATTTACAAAATGAATTTTTATTATGAGTAAGAATTATAATTTTGTTTTTCGTAAATTAGATTAATAAAACGACTTTCGTCAATAGAACTTTCACCAAAGCCTTATTTTAAGAGATTTCGAAGGGATATTTTACGCTTAAATGTACGCGCTTTACCAATTACAGCGCCATCATGCGACGATAATCTTCAAGAGTAAAGGTTAGATAACTCTAATTTCCTTTAAAATATGGGCGGCGGCTACAATCTGCTTTAAAATAAGCTAATTTATGCCTCATCTAAACGCCGTTTCTAAGCATCCATGACGAACTTTTTTTTTAAAAAAGTGTTCAGAATTAAACATTTGAATTAAAGAAACGTGTTTTTATAAACTTTGCATAAATTTACAATGTTTTTATTAAAGAAACTTCTGATCTTAAAACGTGTGTATTGCAGACGCTGCACCTGGAGGGATTTCTGTAGCTCGCGACATTTTCACAATTAGAATTCAAGAAACTTATAACGCCTTTATTTTTTTCCCCTTGGTTTTTTTCTGCATCTTGTTTTTACAATGAGGAACCATGAAGATTTGAAGACATGCCCCTATGACATGTTGAGAAACAGCTGCCAGACGGCCGTGCCGGTTCACCCACAGGCCTCTGGGTTTTGCTTCCTCAAGAAAAATGTTTCTTTGTCGATGCCATAAAAACGCAAATAACGTCGACTAAGATATCGCGTGTTATCCAGTGATTAACAAAGTTGATTATTACGGAATAAAGGCAGAAAATCAAAGAGAAGGATGCATGTTCCCGAGATGCATTGTTATCAGACCGTTAGGGGCAATAGACAGGGGCAGGTGAGGTTTAAAGACAAAGGGCCAAATCTCTTTTAGATCTGCAACCGAAGCACGCGGGTGTAGATGTTATACGCAAACATAACAGATGATTTATCGCTACTTGAGCAGCAGATGAAAAAACATGGAGACAAAGCAATGGGTACCGTTGATGGGGGGAACGTGAAACTAGATACACAAAGAGGCAGGGTGTTTAGGATGGGGGCTCAAGGAGGGAGGGGAAAAAATATGCTAGAAGGTTCTAATCTAACTGGCACAGAACCTGCTCTTCTGATTTTCCAGGTTCAACAAGGCTTGAGATGAATGAGTGCACTTAACGTGCAACCTTACATCATTACTACTCACGTCTAAGATTGCATCTGGTAAAGAAACTCGAACAGAAGGAGCCATGCGACTTCACTGTTGGGGGGTTAATGGGTGCTCACTGCACGACTGAGGGATGGCTGCTGAATTAAGCAGGGATGACGCCCGACTCACGTTCGTCCATAGATGAGATTGATAGCAGTGTGTTGTCACAGCTAGGCAAAGGACACATTTAGTCCCCCCCCCCTTCCACACACGTTTTGTTCGCTATTGTTTAGGCAGTGATAACCTCGTCATGTCCACGGCGACTGTAGGGGGGAAGTGCCAGCTCTTTTGAATTTAACACAAAAAAACGTAATAATAGGAATAAAATTGGAATTGCATTAATTCTGCGAACCAAGAAAACAACAAGCACACGACGCCTTGTTTCCGTTTCAGTTTAATCGGCTGACATTGAACAACAGTGTCTTGTTGCTTAAAAGAAAAAAAAGAAAGAAAAAAAGTCTGAGTGATATTTGTTTCTAAAGACACTCGCTGTTGGAGAAATGAAGCTCACCTGACTTGTCGAAACATGATCCCATGGACTCGACAATACAAATTAATTTGATCAGCCCCCTGGAACAAATAGTTAAAATTTCGGCTATAGTAACACTGAACAGTTATTAATTACATTTTTGTTGGGATTTGGGGGAGATAATAAATTAGGCAATACAAGGTGGACGGGTCGCGTTACGTAAAGGGCCGAACAGGAGGAACATCTTGACTCCCCTCGTTTTGTTCAGACTTGCAGACGATTTATGTTCAGGGCGTAGGGGGGCGGGGTGGAGCCCGGGAGACACAGTGGGAGTACGGACAGGTCATGAATAAAAGAAGGTTCTAGACAAATGATGAGGGAAGGACAAGCAAAGCGTGAATAAAGATGGTGCTAGACAAATGATGAAGGGAGGGGGGCCATGTTAAATGGAATACAGATGGTTCTTTAAAAATGATGAGAAAAAAAACAAGTTAAAATAAAATTAACGATCGTTTTAAGCAATCTAAACACATACACACATCTGTTTTTTTTATATTAAGGTATAAACACACACACACACACACACATACACACACACACACACACACACACATATATATATATATATATATATATATATATATATATATATATATATATATATATATATATATATATATATATATATATATATATATATATATATATATAACAGTTCCAGGAAAATGTTGAGGGTAGTAATATGCAAGTTATACCTAAATATAGATAGATCTAGGCTAATGATCAGTGATAGACAACAACATGAATATAGCGAGGCCTAGGCTAATTATGAATGATAGACAAAAACATGAATATAGATAGGCAAAGGCTAATGATGATGTGTAAACTACGATAAAGTAGAATGAAATGGTTTTGATCGTATTGATTTATATAAGAGCGTTAGAGTATGCCATGGTGAGGGAGGGGGGATAGGAGAGAATAAAAACAAAAGTAAGATACTCCTGCCCACATAGATGTCTGCAGTGTAGAGGGGGTAGAGGTATCCTTTATCTTAGACCTTCCTATATGAATGGAATATGTAGTCATCACTAAGAAAGTTCCATTTGTCTTTCTACTATTGTAATGTGGACCACTGGACCTCCAATGTATTCAAACACAGGAACCGAACCCGAGTCGTTTGGAAAAATATAGTCTTGATATAATGATATAACACAAACACAGGTATATCAACACTGTGAGGTATATTGTTATATCAACACTGAGTTTACGTTATATTATTAGACATATAACACAAACAGTAATATCAATACTATGTGATATATTGTTATATCAACATAGTGTTTATGTTATAATATTAAATTAACATTGTGTTTATGTTATATTTTAAGAAACAAACACAATTGCCAGTAGAAGACAAAGGGTAAAACATTTTTGTTTGATAAAGCATTGTAGGCCTATATCCATCGTCAGGAATTGTTAAATTTTTAATGATATATAATAACATTATATATTATCTATAATTATAGGCCTATTAGTTATTTTTATATTGACAACGACCCATAGAATATACTGGTGTGGCTTAGTCCCTTCTTAGAGGCGAACAATGGCACCGTGTTAAAAATGCACTACTGGTATTATCAGCGGGTTGAGGGCCTATATGTGGAAACAATGTGTAGCTCTAAGGGTGATGATACCAGCTCCCTCCCCCCCCCCCTCCCCCACCCCCAAACTACAAGTGACATAGAAATTGACAAAGGGTTATTACGACACAATAGGTGCTAGGTGAGAGACAGAAAAAAAAGAACAGAAACGAAAACCTCAATTCCCCCCCCCCCCCCCCACACCCTGTTACAATAAAGAACTTTAGATAATCATCAGAGGACATAACCAATACCAATACATCACAATAGCAGGGGAGATAACAAAAACACAAATTTTTACATTGTTCGTCCTATGTTTCTTTGACGACGACTTGTTAAAAAAAATAAAAAATAAAAATATAACCGATATTTCAAACGCCCCACCCTTTTTTTAATGCTGGTATTTCTTAAGAAAAAAATAATAATTCAAAGACAGAGCCAGTTTTTCACAATGAAACCACCATTTTCTTGTCGAAAGTGCCGCTATGCCGAAGACAAGCAGGTGTCGAGTTGTCAAGAGAAAGGACATCGCCATTGTCTGCGCTGCGGCCAGGTACTTTATTTGATACGGTTTATGACAACCCGGCCGTGGTTGTCCGCGGCCGACGATCAAGTACCGAGATGGACTCGCATTGTTGTGTAATCACGCTAGCCTTGTCTCGCCCTGACCTCCCCAAGAAAACATCTCGCATGAAGGAGAGGGTTAAAAAAAAAAGACAACCACCCTTACGTTTTTCGCCGAGACAGCATCGCGACATTGTGATGCTCTTCAAGTCTTTTCTTACTTGATCAAGTACCGAGCTGTTCTGGTATTGTCCCCTATTGAGGTTACCAACACAACCCGAACAATACCGAGGCTTGTCGAATGCACCAGTTATTTCTTGTATGACAAGATTGACCCCATCAGTTCTAAGAAACAACCGCCTCAAAGCATTGTGAGAGTGACGACATTTTTTTTTTATATCCCTCCGAATACCATTATTACAACACAACGACCATACCCTAGTTTTTAAAAGTGTATTACATCGAATTATTTGAAGGAATAGCCACCCAAAAAAAACGTATGCGTCTGGCTCTTATTGGGTCCTTTGTTTACTTTGTATGAGGTTGACGAACAAGGGCGTAAAAACACTGTCATTCGCAGAGGACAGGCTCTGCTACAGGGCTACTTAGCAGTAGGTAGAACAGGGTCCATTGTCAGTCATAAGGGCAGCGCCCTCTATCCCCAGACTCCTAGTATTCTATTGTTCTTTGAATTTTTTAAAATTCTAATTTTAAAAATTTGAAGTAAAAAGTACGATGTAATAAAATTTTAGGTTTTATTTCTTTATGATTTAATATTTAAATTTGATAGCAATTAATAAAGACAAGTAA